ACATAAAATGTGGCTGGTGTCGTTGACACTTGATGCGTCTTTCAATTTGTGAACGTTTTAGTTATAATTTCTGTTACGTCATCTGTGAATCATTTGTTGTCGCTTGTAACTAGCATTTCCGTTTCGCTGAAGGACTTCATTATGATCGATTAATCTAGAAGCGAGGCGTGAACTGAATTGAAAGGGACAGGCGTGCCTATATCGCAAGAAGCATGCTGCGTGGCATGCATGACGTATGCGCAATCCATGTGCGTGCAGGCGTATACGTAATTTGCTTATCAATCATACGCAATGTTGGCTGCGGCCCACGCGGCGCACTTGAAAAGGCCAAAGCGTGAAGAATTCTTTTTTACTTTACCCGTTTCTTTTTTCTCTGTGTGTGTGTGTGTCAGCGCCGCACGAATTATGAACTCGAAAATCGCAAGCAAATAAAACTAAGATGAAAACAAAGATGAGCAACTCCAGTGCTCATACAAGAGCAAAGAGCATGTTCTAGTGCCATGCGGAAATTGTTTCTAGTTGTAGCTGAAGAAACAAATACATTATTATTATTATTCATCTGCTGCTTCTTCTGCTTATTTATTGTTATTATTGTTTTGAGTTGCTGCAAATTAAACACAATTTTTTTTGCCAGCAAAATCAACTGAATGATGCGCAGTATTGGTGAGACCTTTGGCGAGGTGGGCAAGAACTTGGCCTGCCATTACTTTTGTACACCTGTAAAGGCCTTTATCACTCTTTACTTTCAGTTCTGTTTCTCAGTTGATTGAGCATTCATCAGTTTTATGCATTCCTCTGACCAATTGCCTACATTCAAATTCTGCTTTTTAGCTATGCCAAAGACTGCCCTCTGCGACGCTTAGAACATGTTTTTATTCTCAATTTGTAGTTACAAAATATTAAATATTAATAAACTCAAAGACAAACAGACAGGCAACAAGTCAGCCAAGCGTTGAGTGCTTCTAATTTGCATATGCAATGCGATACACAATTTGTCTTGAGTTCGTGTTGTGCACTGCAGTCTCAACAGTTTCAATATTCATTATTTGACAGCTAGCAACAGGTGTTTATTATATATATTTTTATAAAGTTTTAGTCTAAACAAATATATAAAAAATATGAAAGAAACATAGAAAAATTAAAATTAAATTCATTTAAATCTTAAAGTGAATATAAAAATAATGAAGAACTTAAAAACAAATATAGAGATTTTAATTAATAATATTATTTATGAACAGCTAGAAAAGGCTAAATAAATAGAAGAAAAAGTTCATAAATAATATTTTAATCTGCCCAGGGAATAGATCAAATATAATAAACAAAATTCTATATATAAAATTAATTAAATTTATTCTACTATATTTCTACTAGCTGAAAAATATATGCAATTAATTAAATATTTTTCTAAATTTTTTTTTTGTGAAGACAAAAAATAAATATAAAAAATATAAGAATAAATTTTAAAAAATGTATATAATATATTTGATTGTATGTCACATTCGTAAGCATTCGATATCTAATTCAGCTTCCATTTGATTGACGTTTACTGTAATTACATACCCAAAAGCCAGCCTCAGCCTATCAATAGCTGTTAAAGCTCCACTAAGCTGTCACACTTAGCCCTCAAGCCTAATAACTTTAACACTTTGTTAGGGTATTAGTTGGCAGATTTGTTGTTCTTATCTAGGCTTGACTGATAGCTGAACGCCTCTTGTTGACATTTTTCTCAACTTTGTATTTGGGTTGAGGTTTTGGATTTTCGTCTTTCGCATTTTGTTTTCATTTTTCATTTGCGTCTATTTCCCAAGCAGTTTTTTGGCTTGTAATTTTATGAAATCTTTTTATTTTTGTCTTTTTTTATTAATTTTATTTAACTTGGTTTGTTTTTGACTGTCGCAAATTTTATGTCTCTGTCTCTCTCTCTGTCTCTGTCTCTGTCCCTCTCTTTCTATCGTGTCTTCATGTTTATCGAGCTGCTTGTGTAGCAAGGTCGTTCGTTGTACCCAACTTGTTGTTGCTGTTGTGGGACTGCCAAAGCAATTTGTAATGATTATTAAAACAACGGGGCCCCACTTAGCATGGCCCGAATCTTATGGCCATATAATACCCATGCAAAACGAGCCGAAAAGAAAAAGATTTTGTTCACATTATTTTTTCAGTGTTAACCATTCACCTAAACTGTTGTTGTTACCATTTTTTAATTGAAAAGCCAAAAACAAAACATGTTAATAATAATAACAAAGCAACAACAGCGGCAGCCACAGCTCAAATTATATTTGCTTACAACATGCGCGGTTCAACAAACGCCCTAGCCAAAACCCGTTACTCTACAAACCCCCCTCGCCCGACTATTTGTTTATTATTCTTAAGCAATTGTTACCACATAGTTTCTATATATATATAGATGTTTTTCTCTGATTGAATATCCATGAACATTGATTATGACAGCCGATCACTTGAAACAAAATCTGAAAAGTTCTATTTAAAGCAACAGGTAACAGCATTCCAAAGCCATTGGCTCACTCACACAGTAACTGTTACACAAACGGAACTACATAGATATACCATATATATACACATATATGATATATGCGAAATTTCTATTTGAATATGTGAACTACATATCGCGAGACGAATTAGCATTCATTTCTATAAAAGCTGCTAAGCAACTAGAATTTTTGTTCATTTATAACATTTTATTCAATTAGGCAACAAAATGTATGTTTTAACTTAAAGCTTGCCAATATGCTAAACACATTTACTTATCACTGCTGAAAACTAGATTTTTTATAAAACAAGTTCGAGAATGCTAGCTTAGAGAGCCTGACTGGGTGGATGCTCTGGCAGTGTTGGCATAGCCAAAGACAAGCATAATCTGTATTATCAGCTATAGGAGCGACATAATCATTATCAACGGTACGATCTATAGCGGGATACTTATCATTATCAACACATCGCATTATGATCATTATTGTTATCATACTCATTGTCATTGTCATGATAATAATAATAATAATAAATAATAAATAATAAATAATAAATAATAAATAATAAATAATAAATAATAAATAATAAATAATAAATAATAAATAATAAATAATAAATAATAAATAATAAATAATAAATAATAAATAATAAATAATAAATAATAAATAATAAATAATAAATAATAAATAATAAATAATAAATAATAAATAATAAATAATAAATAATAAATAATAATAATAATAATAATAATAATAATAATAATAAATAATAATAATAATAATAATAATAATAATAATAATAATAATAAATAATAATAATAAATAATAATAATAATAATAATAATAATAATAATAATAAATAATAATAATAAATAATAATAATAATAATGTCAGAGTCTAGACGATGTCCTGCCACTATCTCTGAGCACTCCCCATTTGAATGTACCTATAGATTACAGGGTATCAAACTGGTAATCTAAATCAAAAATTCTTATAGCCATAGAAATGTTACTTATCATGTTCCTCCCATTGCTATTGCTATTGTTTTGCAAATTGATATGCTCTCTTACCTCTTTTTAATTATATGCATAACTTTTTTATCCTTTGTCTGCTTGAATTGATAAAAAGAAGAAGCAGAAGAACTTAATTAATTTTCGTATTGTTGCAGTTTAATAAAAGAGAATTGAATGCTTATATAATTTGTTGTAGCGCTGAACTTTAAAGGCAAAAACTTGCGACACTTTTGCATTTTAATTTCTTTCGAGCTACCTGAACTGGAAATTAGAAAAATTGGCCACAATTGTGGCAATTGCCACACCCACTGACCAAATGAATCATGCATTCGATTTAAACATAAGTAAAACGTTTTTTTCCTCGCCTCTTTCATTTTTTTTTTTGCATAGTTGAGCAAATAAATTGCATTTAGCTCTATGCCATATAAGACAATTTGCCATAAGCGTACGAAAAGCGGGCTGAATTATGTCGCTCGTTGAGTTAATCTTAAAAACAAAAAGTAGAAACAAAGACAGCCAGAAAACTGCTGCCAAATACAGCAGTCTTAAGTGGTTTTGTAGACAGACCGGGAAATACCCCGCAATCGAAATAGAAACAGAAACAGAAAAAGCAACACCAACAGCAACAGCAACAGAAATCTACAAATCAGCAGCACATCCGCAAACTGTAGCTGAATATGATTCAAAAAGTAATTCACACGCCCAAAAATAAAAATGAAGCGAACAGCAAGAATTTATACAAATTACGGGCCAATTGAACAAGCTGTGAATTATTTATGTTAAATTAAAGTGTTTCTGTTTTTTGTTTTTATTTTTGGGGCGTGTGTGTTGGTAAAGCATTAGCATAAATTGGTTTAAGACCGTTGAGTTGAGTGCGTCATGCAGCAATTAATGTTCTTTCCCTGCCCAAGCAACGACACAACCTACGCTGTTAACAGCTGGCAAGCTACTGGCAAGGCAACAGGCCGAGCTTGGCGTTCGGCTCTGCTCGACTCGGCTTGGCACGTCCAATCTCCAGCTGCAGCGACGCTTGGCATTCGGCTCTGCCTAGCTAACTGGCAAGTCAAGTCTAAACATAGCTTCGGCTCTGTACTCGTTACGCTTCGGCTCAGCGCTTCGTTGCGACTCGTCTTTTTGGCGGCGTTACTTTTTGTGTTGTTATTCTTGTTGCTAGCTCTTGGACGCCACTGCGTGTGTGTGTGTGCTTTTTTTGGTGCTGTCTTGTGGCCAGGCCGCACCGTTACTTGGCCAGTCGAATTACGCAGCTTGGGGCGAACGGTTCTAGCGCGCGCTTCCCACCACAGCTAAAACTACTAAACAATAAAAATACTAACAGAGAGACACAGCAGAATCGCGAATCGTTTTCCCAAATAAACGAAGAGTGTTGTGCAAATTTAGAAAAATATAGAAAAAATACAAAAAAATAAAAAAAAAAACAAATAAATAAATAGACACAGCGTGCTAAACAAATATAAATAAAAAACCCCACAATAGATTTAAAACAAGTCAATAAATAAAATTAAATTTGGAAAGAAACATAAACAGCCAAGATAATAAAATTGATTGTGGGCGTGGACATAAACTGATTCAACTGGCGTCGCATAACTACGTTGGATAACTTTATACTCCGCTTGGATAATTAAACATTGCGCATACGCCGCATTGCACGAAGCAACGGGTAAGTGTCTGAAATCGATGCGATATATAGATGTAGATAGAAGCAACTGCAGCTTAGAATATAACCTTGACATTTGGCTATAATTTGTCATTCTTTGCTAATTAAAAGCACAGCACGTCCAGCGTCCAATTTGATTGGCAGCTAAATTGTGCAATAATTTAAAAAAAATATATTTATATTGCCGCTGCTGTTGTTGCTGTGTTTGTTGTTTAATTAGTGTTTGAGTGTGGCTTATAAATATGTATAGATGCCTGGTCTTTTGGTTTTAATAGTGCATATGTGTTGGGCTGTGTGATGTGCTAAACGACAAAGGCCACTCAATGGCTGAATGTTGTCCGTGAATGTGGAATAAAAACTGAACAAGCTGAAAAGAACAGCAACAACAACAACTGTTAGGCATTGTAGGCATGTAAATTACAAAATCAAGTTCGTTGCTTGAGTCTTTTGTTTAGGCTATGCAGCCGCAACAAAAGGTTCTTAGGCATGAAATAGAAACTAAGCCAACGCAATTTAATAAACATAATAATGCATAGCACATACAATGCACAGTGGTACACAAGTAGCTGTTGTTGTTGCTGTTGCCGCTGCCGTTGCCGTTGCCGTTGCCGTTGCCTGACAACCTTCAGTTAAGCAAGAAACCCGTTCGGTCTTTAAACATGAACTGCGTGCGCTTAATTTACGCCCAGATTAACATTTTTACATTAATATAATTTCACATTTTTATTAAACCAAAAAATTCAAAAAAAAAACAGTTGAGATTTTGCCTTGACAGCCAGCACGATGCAGCACGATATATATGTATCTATATGTATATATATATATATGTACATATATATGTAAGGCCATATCATAGTGTCGCTTGCTTCTTTTACCTGTGACAGATGTTTATCGTAATGCCCAAAGTCTGAGGTCTTTGGCCTACGCTTTGACTTCAGCTTTTTGCCGACTTTCAGATTCTATGTGAAACTTGGCAAATATTGCAATATATTGTTTAGTTTATATATACATATCTTTACTAATTTGCATGCGACCCAGTTCTTAGGGTTTGTGGTCTTTGAATAAAAAACCCTAATGAATCACAATTTAAAGCTTATTTATTTTCGATTAAATCGAAATGAGTTTGAATTTTCAAGCTGTCCCTGAATTGATGTGCGTCTATTGTTAATAATTTGTTTAGAATTTGACAATAACTACTTATACGCTTCTAATTAAGCGCACACAGCATACGGCTCAATCAAATTTAATTAGAAACTTGATTGGGCGACCAGCTCGATTTCGATTTCAATTTCAAACTGAAATTTAATGAACTTCAATTAAGCGTAACTCGAAAAGACTTCAATTGCTGCCGCAGCTGTTTATTGTTATTATATATATTTATTATTTATTAAATTGTCTGGGTGTTTTGTGTATATATATATAGTTATTTGTAGTTGGCTATAAGTTGTTAATGATGCTGCCGTCAAATTATGATGTAATTTGTTTGCTCAATGTAAGAGCGTGAAATGTTGGCAGAGCAGCAATTGAACTATGAATCATGCATCAAGTACAGCCTAGAGCAGGTATATATGCCAAATTAACATAGCCAAATTGATTGGCTGACTGATTGACTGACTGAATGACTAAGCTGCTGTCAAAAGTTTGAAAGCCAGACACGTTTAATTAACAAAGGCTGCGCAAAGATAAACCCTAATTTTAAGCAGATATCTGCATTGTTCTTGACGCCTGATGGCTTTCGTAATACCCTTGAAAATGGATGAGCAAGGTAGCATAATTGTGTTGAGGTGTGTGCAACAAGGCAGATGTAAGGAAGTGTGGAAGATGCCATTAATTACATAAATAAAAAAATATATATATATAATTAATTAGTATCAAGGTATAGGAGTCTTATACCTCTAGGCAGACAGACTTGGCTGTTGATTCTAATCGAATTTAGTTAGTTTAGTGAAAGATACAGCCAAAATTGATTTCAAATCATTGATTACTTTAGCGACTTCCACTAAATTCATATACAGTATAAGAGCTAGCTACTAAAGCTTGCTAGCATAAGCACTAGAGAGAGCTCTAGCTAGTATAAGAGTTAGAGACATGAAATTGTGCTGCCATAGAACTCACTGCTTAATGTATATTTAAATTATAACTTCTTAGATTTTCAAGTAACTCATTAAAAATATAAGAGCTAGAGATCTAAGCTAGCTAGAAAATACAAGGAAATTATACACTTATCATACATCTAACTATCTATAGAACACTTAGCTCAAGTTTGCTTAGAATCAGCGCTAACTTTATCGACTTTCATTAAATCCATCAAGAGCAAAAGAGCTAGATCCTAAAGCATGCTAATATAATAGCTATTAATTTATTTTAATATTTAATTAAATATTACACATATGCATTTCTCTAGCTTTCAACTAAAATTAGCTTTCAAACTGCATATCGATAAAAGTCGATCAAAATTGATCAAAAAAATCACATTAAAGTAGACCTAGTTTCACAGATTAGCTTCGACTGAGTACTAGGTACTTCGTAAAGAAATTCTTATGCCTAGCACCAAAGTCACTGATTTCATACTGCTCATGTGCTTCAGGGTATCTTCTAGTCGGGCACTCCCAATCAGATCACACTTGACTCGTGTATGTCTTGGTTTTATGGACTTAACACTTGTCGCTTGGCCATTCTTAGCCAAGGCCCACACAAATTTTTGCAAGTAATTTTGAAACAATGCCAAAGAGACTATATAAAAGTATATATAAGTGAAGATATATATGTGTGTGTACAATCACTCAATAGCAAATAAGCATAAAAATAATCAAAAAGCGAAAAAAATATATAACAAAAGCGGAAGTTGAAGTCTCACGAAAGCGCTGTGTAATTTTTTGTCTTTTCTCTTTGGCGCCTTCCTGGCACGAAATACCAAATGCGAAATATGAATATTATTTTTGTGAGAATTCTCAACGAAAATGCAAGCGGGCCACAACAACAGTCGATAGACAAATAAATATATATATATATATAGATATTATGAAAGGCCTCCGCTGGCAAGTGAAAATTGGAATTTATAATTTCGTGCCATGCAGCGCGGCCGATTTTCAACCGCAACATTTTCCCCCTTGCATGAATGCGATAAAAAGAAGAAGAAAAACAAGAAGAAGATAAAAAAAAAACGGTTTTTGCCGACAGCCACGGGCAGCACTTGTCACTGCTGAAGCTGCCTCAACTCAGCTCAGCTCAGCTACTGCTGATGATGTAATGAGCGACATGCGCATCAAGTGACAGAGCAAATGTTGCGCATACGCCGCATTGTACCAAACGAGTGCAACACTTGCCAGCTGCTGCTGCTGCAGCGGCTCATCAACAACAATCTCAAAGATAAAAAGCAAATTGTAGCAGCTTCTGCTTTTGCACACTCAGACTTAGAATTGACCTAAAAACCTTTTCAAAATGTAGCTCAACTTGGAAAATCTTGAATGCATGAAAAGTAAGTGCTTTGCAGCTTCAGGAAGCTGAGATTGAACTGAAAAATCGGTTTCTTCATTTTGATATGAAAAATAATAAAGCGAGTCGAACAATAGCTAATCAAGGCTCGACTTGGATTTTGTTGAAAAAAAACTCTTTATAAATATAATTATAAATTTTTTCTCTTTTTAAAATATATAAAAATAATTGCTTCTATTAAAAAGAAACAAAACTAATTAAGCCATTCGAGCAAAAGCTAATCAAAGACTTAGTTAGCCATTGTTTAAAAGAATTCAATTTTTTTATTACTGAAATATATTAGAGTCATTAATTAAAATGAAAAAAATATAAATATTCGTAATCCATACAAATTAATATATTAATATTAATATATATATATATATATATATATATATATATATATTAATATATATATATATATATATATATATATATATATATATATATATATATATATATATATATATATATATATACATAACATACACATATACAAATATATTTATATTTTACATATATATTTTATTATTTTACATTTTTGTTAATTTTTTTCTAAATTTTTTTATTTATTTTTTTTAAGTTTGATTTTCTTTTATTTTATTTGTCTCAATTTTTTTATATTTTATACTTATTTATTATTTTATTAAGCTTCTAGCTTGCCCTGCTAACTGAAACCAAAACTTAAAAAATCGCAACTTGGTGCTGCTGCTGCTGCCACATTATTTTGACGCATGCACGTGCTGAGTGAGCCCCATTCACAAATAATAAACAAAAAAAGCAGCGCAACTATAACTTAACTATACTTAAGTACAACACCCCGTGCTGTGTGTGGCTATAAAGCAAGCAGCTTCACTCCATGAGTTTATGATGTTGCGTGCCCCCCTTTTTTATGCAGCAGCAGCAGCCAGTAATGCCACATGCTGTAGATCTAATTGTGAGCGATGCTCACATGAAACATGGAAAGAGAGAAAAAAGTGCCAACTCATAAAATCAAGTTAACCACAGTTGTTGTTATAGTTGTTGTTGTTGAAGTTGTTGTCATTGTTTGTTATAGTTGCGTCGCAAACAATAACATTAGGCAGAGCCACCCGCCCGCACCTATTGTGCAAGGCAGACGAAACCCAGAAAAAAAGACAATTATTTTATAGTCCATATATAGTAGGTGGAGATATATATGGACAATCAGATTATGACATATAATAAAAAATATGCATATATACATATTCAGCTTGTGGCATATAAACAAAGACTTAATATAGTACAAGCAGCTATATAGTGAGAAGTCATAGATGGGACACATAATGAGGAAAACCTAATGAAAAACCAAGTCAATGTTTGAGCTGGAAGTTGCTATTAGTTAAATATAAGCGAGGGTGGTATGAACATTAAAGAAACTTAAAGTGTGCATAAAAGAGAGATACGAACAGAAGACAAAAAATACCTATAATTGTATTTTATTTTTAAAATTGAATTGAAATTGGCCATTTAAAAAGTCAGCCTCCTACATAAAAGAAGTTGTAACGTTAAATAAATATTATTAAAAATGTTAATAATCACAATTGTAAAAATAAATCCAATAATGTTAATAGTAAAAGTTATAATAACAACAATAATAATAATATTCCTTTTTTGTGGGTGAGGAAAGTAAACAATGATATTTATATTACTGATCATTTTTTTTATAACTTTTTCATTTGTCTTGTATTTTATATTTTGTTTATTTATTTTTTCATCAATTTATTTTCTTTTTATTTTTTTATTTATATTATTTTTTTTTTGATTTATTTGTTTTTCTTATTTATTTATTTATTGTTTATTTATTTTTTGTTTATTCAATTTTTTATTCAATTATTTACTTTTTATATATTTATCTTTTTATTTTTTATTGTTGCTTTATTTGTTGCTTATTTATATTTTTTTTAGTTTATTTATTTTATAAATTCAATATTTTTTCTATATTTTAATTTTTTTTATTTATGTGTAAAGTCTACAAATATTACTTGTTTATTCAAAAATTGTTCATACCAACCTCGCCCATACTCACCTATAAAGTAACTGCAAGATGCAGTTAGCATATATACCTGCTAATTAGCTCAATTGTTTTTTTAGTCAGCTACTTGTAGCATATAAACTTGCTCATTGTTAATGAAATTGATGGAACACATTAAATGACTACAAAAAAAGCCCGTTAACCGAAATAAATGAATATAAAATAAAATATAAAGGAAAAGTGAACGCAATGCAAATAGAATTTGTTCGCAAACGAACAAAGCGAACAAAATTTAATATAAGATCAAAAGGCCAAAAACTCGTTTTTTTTAGTCCGACTCATAGCCGGACATGTAAGCTGCTACCCCTGCCAGCCACGCCTCCTCCACCTGGTCGTTTGAGGTATCCACTTTCAAGGTTGCAAAGAACTCGACCGAAAGGCGGCCTGGCTGGCTGGCTGACTGTGGCTGGCTGGCAGCTGTCATACAGATTATTGCATTTGGATTTGGGTGTGGGTCCGCATGTGGCCCACATTTCGAACCACTTCTGAGGTTGACAAACGTTTTTTGGAAAGGCGCGCAGTTTGCAACTTGCAACATGGCCACTGTGGCACACGCCAAGCCGACTGCAGTTGCGCAATTTTGTTTTTATTTGTTTTCATGATTCATAAAGAGCAATTAAAAGCTAGAAAATTATCAACAAAGAACGTTGCAGTCGGGCGTAACTGACTGCATAATGCGCGCCAAATGTACGACAATCTGATATATTATTATAAGACATGCCCCAAATGGGCGGCGCATAAGTCTATCTGGGAACTGCCGAAACTGCGTAAGCCCAGCTCAAAGCAGCTATTGCTTGCACAATTCGGCACGCCCAAGTGGGCGTAACTCAAAAATCTTTACGGCTGATCAAACAGGGCTTACCCCAAATCTCCATGCTAAATTTCAAGTCGCTAGCTTCAATGGCTTTACCACATTCTGCACAAGCCAATATACCCCACTTTCCCTTTTCATGAGCGAGTATCTCAAGCAAAAACAAAGCCAATTTGTGGGGCGCAGTCAGCAAGTTTTTTTTGTAAGCCGCTTAGCCAAGTCAAGCAAAAGACTTCCTTCTGCGCAGGAATGAACGAGCGAGCGAAACGGCCTTGACGAAGTGCGAGACGTAGTTTCACGCACGCCAAGAACACTTTTTGTTCAGAATGCGTTCGGTTTGTGTTTGTGCTATAAATAAAAAAGGCAACTGGCTTTTTCGGCCTTCGCTGGCCTTCGAGCTTACATAATTAATTGCAATAACAGCCAGTTGTAGTTTGGCATGCGGAAAAGCAGCTTCAGCAAACGAAAGACTTAAGACACAAACTTGAGTGCAACTGTGACGCACATCAATCAGCTGGCGACAGCAGCGTCTCAATTAACACTTAATGCACTTTAAACAACTCAAAAACGCTTTTTAATCAATTTCATTTACAATTTTTTGACTGTTTATGAAGCGCAAAGAGAGTATATTGGCTTGCGTCTGTTTGTATGAAGCATTTAGTTTTTAATGAAACTAAAAATTTTTATTTGGCTTGCGGACGCTTGTGCAACACAGATTAATGTTCTCAATTATAATTTAAGCCCATTGGGGCGTGGCAATTGAAAAGCTAAAGCTTGAAATGTATCTTTAGAACCCACTTCATAGAGAGTTCTTCGCTCTAAATGGACTTTAAAGTGATGCATTTGAGTTTGATCCTGCGCCCTTTGATTCGTCTCAAATCAGAATCATAGCCAAGATAGAGTATTGTGCAGTCACTTATACCCAATTCAAATTGTTTAAATATATATAATTCCCTTTATCTTAACCCATTTACCCGCTGCTACAAAGCTCAAGCAAACGAAACGAAACGAAGCGAAATTATTTAGATGTTTACTTATTTCTGTTGATTTTTATGATTTGTGTTAAATTAAATAAATTATTTATGTATAATAATTGTTTAATTTCAGTGCACTTAACTTTTGTATATACACAGATTTATATAGCTGTATAGACATATGTGGCCGAAAGCAAAAGATGGACAAAAGGCCAGCTAGCTAATTAAATTTCATATAATGTATGTGCGTGTGTGTGTGTGTGTTGGTGTTGGTGTTGGTGTTGGTGTTGGTGTTGGTGTGGGCCATGTGATCATCGCTAAAAAATCAGCAGCACGTTCGATGTACAAAAAACTTTTATATATAATATATTAGCAAACCAAATGCCAGCAACAACAACAACAACAATCAAAAGCGGTGAAAAGAACGAAATGTTATGCGTTCGTTGTATACATATTATACAATATAAAACAGATGAACATATCAGCAGATGAACAGATGAGAAAAAAATAAGAAAAAGAAATAACAAAAATTTATAAAAATCAGCAACATTCTGGAAGAACTTAATCACAGCGCTCTAAAATAGCAGATGAAACAGAATAAAATCTTGACTTTAAGGTTTACCGAATGGGTTTTTACCTTCTCTCTTTCGCTCTCGCTCTCTCTTCTGTTGTGCCTTTCAAGGCTTGGCGTGGCTTGGCTGTGAATGATAACTGTAAGGTCGCAGCAGCATCATTAAGCGCGCTGACGCTGACTCATGAATGAAAATTAACTAGTTAACAAATTCTATATGAAGAATGATGCATTATGCTGAAAATATAGTAGTAGGTAGCGCTGGGAGACAGGCAGACAGAGACAGACAGAGGGCAGCTTGAATGATATGTTTATTAATATATTGATTACAAAGCTTCTTCTTTTCACAGTCGTAAATTATTTAGACTCATGTATAAGCACGTAGTTTTTGCGTAATTTAGAAAGTCTGAGAATTTGTTTGCTTAGAGGGCGTGAAGCGCCATTAGCATAGTAAAAGTTCTTAGTAAATAGTCCAGAGATGGCAGATGAAATATGATGGAAGTTTAGATACTCTAGCAAATTTCTATATTAGCGCTTGATTGATGGCTTCCTCGTCATATATGGTGAAGTGCTAAGCGCAATATTAAGAAGATGCTACAGCTATGTTAAGAAGATAGCGAGACTCACAATTTATGAGTTTGCTTAGGATGTGCTCCAAAGTCTACTTTAATTTAGTATAAGATCAAGCAATCAATCGGCTATAAAATCGATGTGTTCATCAAGAACCTTTCAGACAGCGCGTATCTAGTTTGCATAGATAAACACACAGTTAGCTAAAGAAAGAGGCGATGCCTTCATTGTCTGCTGCTATGTGTTACACATTACGTGACAAAATTATAATAAATATATATAGGGTATACAAAGTTCTAAGACAAAGCTGAAAGACAATCGAAAACCCGTTGAAAGTAGAAATTGATTAGCTGAGCCACGGGCTTTTTGGGGCTTTATGCGTGACATATATCAAGTTTATGGCCAGATTTTGGTTGCTAATTAAAGCCAAACGCCAACGCAAATAGAAAGCCAAATGCGGCATTGACTTCAATGGAATTGACCGATTTTGACCTGGTCAGACGACAGCAAATAGAGCAGCAGCGGCAGCTGGTAGAGCTGGGCACGAAGGTAGTGGCTGCTCATTAGGATTGCAGAGCGAGCTGCTGCCCATTGATGTGGGCCATTAGAAGCACGATAAGAGCTTCTAAATGGTGTTAAAACGTTTAGCAATGCGTTTTGGGTGGCAGCTAAGGCTAGAAAACAGCAGCAACCGCGGCAATTGCTACAATTCTCAGACTCACTTTCAATGCGTGTGACATACATTTTGACTATATGTATATCTGTACAAAATATATTGATAAATCGCATTGAATGCCAAGCACGTGCATGACCGCCAATACACCTGATATGGTTAACAGGTAGCTGGCATTTTGTCACAAAACGTTGACAAAGCTTGACTTTGAAACGGTTTGCGACACAAAGAAAAAAACCTAAAAAAAAGCCATAAAAATCAAAGAAAAACCAAAGCAATTGAAATGCAATCCAAGTTTAGTAGACTACAGAAAAAATGCAAAATAAAAAGCACAATTAAACGCAGTGACATTGATAAAAAAAACAACAACATTTCTATTAGGTGTTTCAAAATCAAACGACTTAGGCGACAAACTACGCAGCCAACGAAATTGGTTTTTTTGTTGAAGTTCATTGGCTTGCAGATTGATTGGCTGATTGCTTAATAATCTAAAGCCGGATTAAAGTTTTTACACCATGTCTATATATATATATATATATGTATATAAATAATTTGATGCCTTTACACGCCAACAACTTAATATGCCGGCCCAGATCTAATCATGCAACAAATGGCGCTCAAAGAGTCATTCGCGCAAGCACTTAATTGTTCTTGTTGTTGTCTAGAACCTTAGCCAGCGGCTGCTGTAATTATATTTATAAATAAATAAATAATAATTGAGGAAAAACGTTTCTCTTTCAGTCCCACACACGCAAGACAAAAAATTAAATAAAATGATTTCGCGCCGCAAGATTATATCGCGTTCCCTGGACAATTTGGATGCGATTGGGCAGGAGGAGCAGGAGGAAGATGTTTGGCACGATCGCGAAAAGCTGTTCCGGGTAAGCAAAGCAAACGAGATGTGGAACAAGTAGTGCTCTTAGAGGAGAATGTATCCATTCCATTTTTTTTTTAATCTTTAGATTAATTTTATTGACTCTAAAAACCTCAAGCTTGATATCGATACATTGCCATTCGATACAAATGCAAATTCTATCGATGAAGCAACGTTAAGTTAAAAGTGAAGTCTTATACTCTAATGCAAGCTAAGTCTTATACTTTTATAAGCTCACACAGGTAGCAGAGCTGAATTGCATTGGCTTTGATTTAGATAAAGATTATATGTATAGAGGGAAGGCCACGCCTTCATTTGCCTTAAATATACATTTTAAAAAATCATTCTAAATTGTTGTCTTTTTCTTTGCAGGATCACATCAACGAAGTGCTGACCAAATGGGAGCAAATCGATGATGAAATTTGGGCCAAGATCATTGTCTTTGAGAAGAATCGACGCGTGGCCAAGGCCTATGCGCGCTCCAATGTGATCACCATAAATGGCTCCAAGCATGGCTTCGATGGCGTACGGTAAGTAATACTCTCTGCCTCGCCCGAATTATGCTCTAGCTGCTCCATTTCTTTTGCAGCATTGGTCTAAATGGCTTTGAGAATCCCATGCGTGATGCAGAGACAAAAGTCATCAAAAAATCAATTGGAGATGGCTTCAAGATCAAAATGGATGACACTGGCAATATATTCATTAAGAGATATGGCAAGAGCAGCATCTATGTGAATCACACCTCGTTGGCCAACGAGGAAACGGTGATTGGAGCCGATATTCTGCAAATGCCACAAATGTCGCTTACATCGGGCACCTCCTCCAAGCTGTTCGACATGAAGAAATTTCAGAGTAACATTAATCGGGAATTTGCGCGTAGCTATCCGGAACGTAGCCGTTTGGAGCGGCAGTGCCTGTCGGCCGTCTCGCTGGTCAAGTCAAACAATAATCTAATCAATACACCCTTATGGATAATGGTCATCAATGTGGTTGCCATGGATATGCTTAAGAATCGCTTGCAAACGTTGCCCAAGTCCTTGGATGCATTGGGCATGCGAGTGCCTCTCACACACAGCAACGAAGATCCGTATTCAACGATTGAGAGTCAAGTGGGTTTGATCTATCCCACGCCCGCTGCGTCTGATGAATCCCAGTCCTCGAGCAACTCAAGCAAGGGCAGACGCAGCGTCTTCAGTGCGGCCTTCCTCAACGAAAGTCCCTATGTGCCAAAGGTGAGTGATATCGGTTATCTAAGTATCGAAATTTATATTGCGATACTTGAAGTCGTGATTGTTGTTATTATCGATATTATTTTAAGTGGGATTTCTCATCCCTTTCTTAGAAAAGCTGACTAATCACTCTTATTCTCTATTTCAGCCGGACTACGAGGTGGCATCAATGGCTTCTATGGCCTCCATTGCGCCAGTTTATACGGAAAAGAAGCGCCAGAAGAATACGCCACAGCGCAAAAAGCAGGACGATCCCTACTATTGCGGCCTGCTGGCACGCATACCCAATTTCATTAAGTCGAACAAACAGCAATGCGCCAGCAAGCCCAAAAAGGAGCCGAAAATCTCGCGCAAGATATCGGCACAGCATCATCAATTCCTGCTAGCCGCACAGCAGCAACAACATCAGTCACTACAATCGACGACGCCCATACCCATTGCAACGTTCCATCATTCCTATTTCCCCTACAAACTTTATCCACCACAGCATCGACTATCGCAGTCGCAGCTTTCGCTCTGGGATGCGCGTAGTCTAATTAGCGCACATGGTAGGTGTTCCGATATATCCTTTATTATCCTTTTAACAAAAGAAAACATACCTTAACTCCACTCTCTCTCTTTTTTGCAGAATGAGCGCTGGGAGCAATTGGCCCTAATTTATTCATCGCCTAGCATTATATTACAATTTATTTAGTCAAAGTATGTTTTTTTAATTTTTGGTCAGTGGAATGCATTTCGCTCAGTTTTGTGATCATAAATTATGCGAAGTGCAGCCATCATTTTAAATATTTAGAGCATACTTTTGGGCAGACACCTAAAATAATACCCATTAACACTTATACTAATTAGATCGGCGTTATGGATTAGACACCGGAGATGAGAGATTTAATAATTATGCAATTTGTAATAATTAATTAAAATTTTGCCATAGTTTTTAAATCGTTTAAGACTGAGAACGTCCTAGAGTCGAGTTGTGTGCACAAATAAATACTTATATGCAAGAATCTAAAATATATATGGATATGCACACATTTTGATAGCAAAGTATAGGAAGGATTTGTTGTCATAGGCAAATTGTTTGCTACTTTAGGCGATTAATTTTTATTGTTTTACTCTCTGTAAATACATTTTCATATGTAAATAAGTTCGAATATAACATATATGTATGTGAACACTATGTAAACGTTTATGCATTAAAAGAATATTTTCAAAAGAGGATTTATTTATTTCAATAAAATATATAGTAAATTGACAAAAGCCTGAAGTAAGTATAAGAACGGCATGTTATTTTCAAATGAACTCTATTGCGCGCTAACAATCGCAATCAATAACAGCTGCTAGCCTAACATAGTCAAACTCTGTTAGCTAACATATTCCGATCGATAGCCCCAACTCGATAACAATTGTGCAGCCCTGTTCTTAGTTCGACTGTCCGAAGCCAAGCGGCCGCGTAAAATTTGCAAAATTTAGCAACTTTTAAACAAATAATTAAACAGACAAGTTTATTACGCAATAATAATCGAAAGATATATGTGCGGTGGTTCTTTAATACGAATACAATGACAGAAATGAGTGTAAACGAGCTCCGTTGGCATTCAAAGGCAGTCCATATGACAAAAACAACAGGTTAGCTTTGTAATTTTACTTATCTAAAACATCAAAAAATTTATAGTTAATTTGGGGAGCTCTAAATTTAAAGTATTAAAAATAAGTTTTGGATCTTTATATAATGTGGAAAACTCGAATAATGGCCGAGAGTGCGTAAACTTACAATATATATTTAACTATATATTTCTTTATAATATTAATAAAATATTTGTGACACAGATCAGCTTGTGACTGTCATCGACAGTCCTTCAGCTACAACAATTGCAACGACGCCAGCGATTGCTAACATGATTGTGACGCCCAAATCCAGGGCTGCAGAAAGCATAGCTGCAAGTCCCAAATTAATTGATCCCGACATAGCAGCCAAACGAGATCCACATCTAAACCAACTGCAGCGTGATCTCAATAGTCCTAGCGCCGCATTACGCATGCGCGCCATAAGTGCGCTCAAGTAAGTACTAAAACTTTTCTATATACACATGTAATGATCTATAACTCCTCTTGTTAGAAAATCTACCAAAAGTACCTACAACAATTTCGATGTGCCGCATGCTGAGATTAGCATTATAGCGGCAGAAGAGCGAAATCCGCAGCCACCGCCAACGCTCTCAGAGATTTTAAAGGATGTCATTGTCTACGTTGAGGTACGCACTGGCAATGATAATCGCTCCGAGGGAGTTAAGAACATCATATCAAAACTAGGCGCCCAGACCAACGATCGTCTGTTGCGGTAAACTTAACCTAACTTAATATTTTATTAAAAAATAAAACAAAAATTGTTTTTTATAGCAATACCACTCATGTGGTCTTTAAGGATGGCCTCTTGTCCACCTATAAGCGTGCTCAAAGCTGGAATATACCAATTGTTTCCATCTTATGGATTGAGGCTTGTAAGGTGCAACGCCGTCTATGTGATCCCAAACAGTTTCCCATTAGCAATATTCACATGTATGAATTCCCAGAACTCTATGGCAAATTGTCGGTGAGTACTGCAATCGTACTCTATATATTTATTTATATAAGACTGCATAACAAGCGTAAAACAAGATATTACTTAAGTCATTTTTTCCATAGATTTTCCTTTCATCTATGGAAAATGATGATGAGATGATTATGAATCCATTTTGTCCTAATAATACAAGACACGATTTTATATGCATATGTTCTAAGTTCTGTAAACTAAAAAAAAGTTAAGAAATTTTTTAAAAGAATTAAGGTTTGTAAATTTCAAACTATGCATTGGAATTGAATTAAATAAGAAGTTGCAAAAAAAAAGGCTTATCTTTTTGTTAACGATTTTCTTAAAATTTTGCTTAAAATGCTTTCAGAATCATCTTATAAGAGTTCAATTGTGCTAAACAGAGTAGTATAGTTATCAGTATAGAAATATCTGTATTATCAGTATAGAAATATCTCGTTTTACTTATGTTATTTTACTTATGCATTATTCATATATTTCTATTGCATCTTTTGTCGTCTTTATACGTAAAATATCACCCTCGTAAATTGCATAATCTTAATATAGTATAAACAAAGCTCTTATGTTATATCTAGCACGTGGTTTCTGAGATGAATTTCCATATAAAGCTACGTACCTTAAGAGCTGCTCAACTAGTTTCGATTTCTATATAAAATTGATTTACATAAACTGTTCGTTAATCTCAAGCAGCAATTGTTGTTATCCAGAGATCGGACATTGTAAATATTTCAGATTGCTTCGGAAGCCATCAACTTCAGTTAGAAATAGTCGCTATTTAATTGGTTTATTGGCCTCATAAAAAATGCTATAAAATAAACAAATCGATTAGTTGTTTAGGCTTTGCCCAAACACATTTTTGATAAGGCCAAGTGAATCGGTATAGTATCACGAACGAGCCACGATGAGTCAGATAAGCAATTGATATGTATACTCTGACAGTGCTCCAGTTTAAAGTCGTGGGTTAGCTGTTACCCTGGCTTTTATTGTATATATATGTTCTACTTATACTTATAGAATATTTGATTGACCTAAAATACCCTGTATTAAGTGTATTCTCTTCATAGAATGAGTAGATTTTACTAGCATGTTTTTATGTTTTCAAGTTACTGCTTGAATGGAGTTTGGCTATTCAAAGCGCTTTAGGTCAGCATACCCGTTGCCGCTGAAATTGTAATGGGTATATCAAAGTTTGCAGCAGAAAAGCATAATCTTGAGCACTAGAAAATACGCTATATATATTTCAAAAGTGATCGACTTAGAAATAACCTCTATATATGTCATATATAGACATCTAAGCACCTGCTGTGGCATACCCTCTTCTCTCCTCTTTTACGCAGTATATCCAAAGATGGCAGCACAAATATAATAGAAACAAAATGTTGCTATTTAAGTGCCGTCTGCACTTTCGCTCGACAGATTCTTATCACAGACAACAAATGTCAGGCACTTAGCCTACCTCTGGGCCTTGTGCACTTCGGGACTGTGTTTAGGTTATCTAATTCAATTTGCGTGTAACACGTAGTGTACAATATGTCTTATCAGTGGCCAGGAAGTTGGCAGCAGAATACAGAGAGGCAGTGAGAGAAGTGGTCTCATGGCATAGTCTGGTTCAAAGCAGAAAAAAAATGCAAATGTTCTTAATAAATTTTGTGTTGTACTGAACGCACAGACATTATGTTTTATTACTTAAATATTACGACAGTTCAGTAAGAGGAAGAACAAAAGACAGGGCACTTGACAACTTAAAACCTATTTCACATGCGCACGTCTGTTTACAGACAGATATTAAAAATTATAAATATGTATATAGTAGTTACTTTTTTTTGCATTTATATAACAGGGCAAAAACAATGAAGCCAAGTTACTTATATAAAAAAATACTTAGTTACGGTTGGGTTTTTCTTTCGATCTTAATGCGTTAAACGCGCTGCAGGCAAAAACATTCTCTGAGATTTCTAACAAAATGTATATAAATATATATATATACATATATAAAAGATACAGAGATTTCGGCCATACTATATATACCTTATATATATTTACAAGACAATAAAAAATGCGCTTTCTTTTAAGTACGATATTTAAAAGGAATTTACACTATGAATGATTTTTGTGAAGTCCTTTGCCTGGAATGCTTCATGCATAGGAACGTGTCTCATTTCTGTTTTCTTTTTTTGCTGTGGCCATTGCTTTATCATGATAGCGCCACTTCCAGGCACATCATAATCAGGAATCCAGACACTGTGCCCCATGTCGCAATTGTGCCATTGCCACTGGCATGAGCCTCCGGCAGAATATCATCGGCTACAATATAGATCATAGCGCCAGCAGCAAATGACAAAGCATACGGCAATATTAGGTTAGCAAAGGTAACTGCCACGGCGCCTAGGACACCAAAGATCGGCTCCACCATGCCAGATAATTGACCGTACCATAGAGCACGCATCACACTAAATCCCGCGGCGTGCAACGGCAAGCTGACGGCCAATCCTTCTGGGAAATTTTGTATGCCAATGCCAATGGCCAGGTTTCGAGCGCTCTCGAATGTCGAGCTATTCGTAGTGCCCACTGCACCAAAGCTGACGCCCACTGCCAAGCCTTCGGGTATATTGTGCACAGTGATGGCCACCACGAGCAGCATAATCCTTTTCCACTGTGACAACGCCTCCTGGGCACGTTGCTGTTCCAACGCCGCCCCTACTGTATACGTGCATTGCTCCACTTCGCCAATGCTGCCACCCTTCTTCCGTCTGCGCGACTCGCCGCTGTGTTGCACACTCAAACAGTCCGAGAAGCTATCGAGACTCTTGGATGCATGTCTATCCGTCGCTGAGCCATTCATTTTCATCTCATCGATGGCAATATCAGCCTTATCTTTGCTATTCTGCGTCATCTGTATCATCATGTTGGTGCTATTCAAGCCCAGATATGACATCAATTTATCGCAGCCATACACAAAGATCGAGCCAAGCAGAAAGCCGCCTGCCACGGGCAGAAATGAATAGGAGCCATAGAGATTCGAGGTCTCGGCCATTTCAATGGCTGGGTTAAGCAGCGACCAGAACGAGGCAGCAATCATGACGCCCGCCGCAAAACCCAATGCTGCATCCAATGAACGTCGCTGATTGCCTCGCACGAAGATCACCAGTGCCGCACCTGCTGCTGTTAGGCCCCAGGTGAGCAAGGTGCCCAGCAGGGCTTGCGTGACGGGCCCATAGCCAGGTATCATCTTTATATTTGATTTTGTTTTTGCTTTGATTTAGTACCTGGCGCTGGATGGCGCTGAATTACTGATGAAATAGCAGATGAGGCCTTGTTGTTGCAGCGTTCTTATTATTTATGTACTTGTAATCGTTATCGCACGTAAACCACAGATACAAAACAAGTTTTCTTCTTGTTGATGTCTGTGTTTTTTTTTTTTAAATTATTTTTCAAACTAACGCGCAGCAGCTGACACGGGCTGAGGCGTTGCCACGTTATTACTTGTTCTTTTTGCTTTTCCGCACAGATTTTGTGTAGTTTCTTAAAACTGTTCTTATTTCAATGCCGATTGACAATTGTGACAAAACAAACAAAACGTAAAAACACAAAAATATTGCCAGAATATCTCGTTGGCTCTCTCACTCGTTCGCTCGCTCTCTTTCCCTCTCTCTCTCTCTCTTTGGTTTTTCTTCCGACACCGCTTGCAGCTGGCTGCTGAATGAATTTGATTTTAGTTGCAAGTATGGCAACACTTGTTGCTTATCTTTTGCGGATGCGTGCTTTTAATTGAAACTGTTTCAACGTTATAGAATGTATGTTATCGCGTAATACTGCCAGTTTTTGGTTTTGACTAAATCATAGCTTAAGAGCGTTCGTTCTTTTAGTTTCTTTTACAAGAGGCGAGCGCGACCAACGCTGAGTGAGCCGCAGACTGAGGCTGACGGCTGTGCTGTAGCAATTTTTATACAACAAGAGGGGGTTGACGCTCTTGCTACAGCGCAGTCGCCGTGAGAGAGTAACCAGGGCTGCAAAATCTACTGCCAATGTTTCCACACCTGTTTGTTTCATAAAATAAAAATACAAATTTAGGCGCATTTAAATTGCAAAAATAATTTTCTTTATTAAAAATATAATAATAATTATTGACAATAATTGCTAAATGCAGTTGTTAATATTTATCGTTTTATTATTATGTAGAAATGCTAAGAGCAAGCTAAGTACCTTATTTTTTGCAATCTGACCAAGAGAGAGATAAAAGTCGCGCTAATATAAACAAAAGTTAGCAACGATTCAGTTATCACGTACATTATAAACAAATAAAACAGTGGGTTTTTAGCTAAAAAAGTGACAGTTGAGAAATCACCAGCAGCAGCAGCTCATGGCATCATTAGGTAAAACAAGTGTTTTATCATTTGTTGGTTGGTTGTCTAGCTAAATATTGTATCTTATATTTATTTCCTTGTTATTCTCTCTTATAGCGCGTACGGTGCATGCAACCAGATTCAGAGCTCAAGAAACGCAAACGACCTGGAACGCCCACTAGCAGCAAGGATAGAAATAATCTAACGCCCAAGTCTGTAACAAAGCCCATATCACCAACCAATCCACAGGTGAGTATTCTTTGATCAACTCTTAAATATGACATTAAATATATTTGTCTCTTCCAGACTCCCATAACGCGATTTTTTAAGACTCTCAGCCAAACCAAGCAGCAGCAGGAGGACGTGGGTGCAGAATCGCCGGCTACTAATCTACTTAATAGGTAATTCCAATTAAAAAAAAAAAGATATTCTGTAACTCCCATGCTTATACTTATGCCCATATTGGTTTCTATAAAAATTGAAAAGAAAGTTAAGTAATATGTGCCTTAAAGTCTTATACGTTGCATATGTACAGATGAAGAAACAAAGAATTATCGATTTGATTCGATTCGATTCTCACTCTTATATTGGCTAACATAGTTTCAGGCTCTTATACATTCGCATTCTTAATTCATAAATATCAAAACCAAATCAACATTTGGCACCATTTGCAAGTTTTAGAATTTGCCATTAGACCAAAAATATCGAGTGAGTTTTGCCACAGCCTAAGAGAGTTAGATTGAGTTGTCTATAGCTGTTACAATAGCTATATTATCCTCTATGATATTATTCATATTAGATCGAATCCTAATTAAGAGCACATAAAGCCTTCTGCATGTGATATAAATATAAATTACAAAATTTTACTCAATTTCCATGGCTACTTCTATTGACATGGAAAATTTTGGAGTCAATTAGTGTCTACTAATTTTTCTTAGTATAATGAGTGTCCAAATCTAAAGCGCATTTTTTATCTTTCTCAGAATAAACAGCGGCTGCTTTACGCCATTTAAGGTGCAGAACCAAATGGACACACAAACTCCGACGGACAAAGAGAATAAAATTGTTGCCAACAATAAAGACGCAACTCAGAAAGAGTTGTTCCCGTGTCAGGAGAAAAGTGTGGGCAGAATTAAAAGACGAAGCGCTTCGGTGACTGTGGATTCCACTCAAGAGCGATCTCGGCCGCTGCGAGAAATTCGCCGCAGCAGTTTGGCTTTTGATTCCACAACACCTGTTGTAGCTGAAACACTGTCAACGGTACCTCGTCTGACACGGCGGCGCAGCCAATTAAAAAGCACAGAGAAAGCTAACACAGAGGAGAAGGAGTCAGACACATCATCAGCATCAGCATCATCATCAGCATCAGCAGCAGCAGCAGTATCAGTATCAGTAGTCGTGGCTAAAACAGTAGTTGAGCCACGAGCTAAACGTCGTTGTAGCCTGCAACTGTCAGATACTAAAACAAATTTACAAGAAAAAACTCGCAATCAACGTCGGCGCAGCGCCTCCCACAATTCCTCTTTCAAGTCGGACACACCGACTGCGGCTAAGAATCCACCTACATTTGAAGCCATAACCGAGGAGCCACAATCCATTGCAGAGTCAACGCCGCCGGCTAATAAAACCAACTATGTTCAAGAGACAATGGAAATAAGCTCAAGCCGCGCGACAATTATTGGACGAGCCACTGAACGTCGTACTGTATATACCGTAGAGCAAATGCAGATAAGTGATTTTAATAATGAAAACTTAAATCCTCGGCTGAGCGACATCAATTTAAAATCGCCCATGAATGTAACGACACAAACATCGCTGGACAGCATCGATGAGCATACTCCTGTGCCGGTGTTTAATTCCACTCGCTTGCCGCGCAGCGAGACGAGGTCGTCCTCAAATCGTCGGCGTACTCTGTTCAATGTCGACATGGATCACATTAATGAACGCATCAATTCCATTAATTCGAAATCGCAGCGGCGTTCGCTGGCATTGGCCAATCAGGCGGAGCTGGGCGAGAGTTGTTTACTCACTCCACCACCACCGCCGCTTACAGCACAACCACTGCAGGCAGTGGCGTTCAATGCGGGTGCAACCCCTAAGGAACTGAAATCCACGGAGCCCAAGATGCGTCGACTTTTCACGCCCAATGAATCTATTCCCATATCATCATCGTCATCCAGCAGCAAATCACGTCCAAGCACGAATAGTAGTAACGCCTCCACTCACACAGTGAAAAGGCGACAAACGGCGTCAGCCCTGAAGCCAACTATATCAGAAGGCCCCAATTACGTAACATGTGATAGTACTGAGAGCAAGGAGGGATTTGTTACGCCCTTTGATTCGGATACATCCGAGTCGCATGGAGATTGTCTGAAGCCTACACCTAAGCATCGAGTCATACATACGCTAGTGCATACGAATATGCATAAGGAGCAGGTGCAAATCATCCATAAGGTTGGTAGCACAAAATCCTCGTCTTAAGAAATTGTACTCGCTTAGATGTAGATATAGATATAGATATAGATTTAGATATAGGTATAGATATAGATATAGATAGATGGCTTTCTCTCTCTATTTGTACTCTGTATCCTATATGCAAATATTGTTCTATATTTTAATTGATTCATTTATATTATTTGTATAGTAACTGAGTTTCTCGAGTTTGGGTTTTCAAGTGCAACGCCCACCTCATTGGTTCATAATTAATATTGATAAAACATGGTTGAACTTGGGGCAGTCGTAAAACAACAGAGCGCTTCACACAAATAAATTATACATAAAAATATTTATACAAAACAAATGCTGACTCTAACTTGTGCTCGATTAATGGCTTTGCCATTAATTAACCAATATATTCATTCATCCATCCATTGATTCTATTGTACCTCACCTCCACCCCCGACCCGATATCCTCATTTGCTTGTCACGCCATCCCAGGCCATACGCAAGCTGCGTGGCATGCGTCTGGATCCCACAGTGACCAAGCGAACGACCCATTTGGTTAGTCTGGAGCCAAGGAGAACATTGAATCTATTACGTGGTTTGATGCGAGGCGTTTGGATTGTTAACTTCAAATGGATACTCGAATCGGTTCGTGTTGGCAAGTGGGTGAGCGAAGAACATTATGAACTGAACTCATTTTCACGTGCCGTTGAGGTGAGCTGCTTGCTAAATTCTGTCAAAAGTGTGTTAATAACTTACTCAATCCCCGCTAGATTTGCCGCACGGAACGTCAAGCCTTTGGCGTATCCTATCGCTGCGAACTGTTTCGTTTTATGGAGACCTTCTATGTCTCCTCGCTCTGTCGACCCATCACATTTAACAATATCAAGGAGCTGTTGCTGTTGGGCGGTGCCAAGTTAACCGAGAATCGCTACAAGGCCAAATTCATTGTGGGCGACAAGAGACGCGCCGAGGATGATCGCGTCTACCTGTCGCCACTTTGGGTCCTGGATAGCATAACGGCAATGCAGGTGCAAAAGTTTGGCAAGTATCTGATGAAATGTGCCATTGTAACACCGAACGGCATACGTTACGAAGATCCGCGCCAGGAACCGGAAGACCCACCGCAGCAGCAGGACCAAATACGGAGGGACCAAAAAATTTGTTATAAGGACCCAGCTCTAGTGATTAGTAAATAGCAGGCAATGAATAAGTGAAAAAGAATCTAGCGTTACATGTTCTAGTTGACCACATACACAATTTTATACTTTTAGGGTAACCATATTCCTTCTAATCGTTTCATCCGTTCAATATATATATCCGTTGTATATATATATATATATATAATATATATATGTATATATATATATACATGTATACTAAGCTTATTTAAATTAAAAACGAGTTTAGCGGTCCAAGTTGCAATTATATTGATTTATTTCAAAACTCTTGTTACATCTGTTTCTGTCTGAGTGAGGTAAAGTTCTGTTGTATAGTTATGCAGTTCCTTGTACTTTTTATCGTAGTTATTTGTACTTTCATATTTCATTTGGCAGCGGGTGTAGTGACAAAATGATAAAAAAAAGCGCTGAAAATCAAAAGCAAAACATAAGAATGTTTCATGTGGAAAAAATAAATACAAAGTGTGCTTTTATTTGTTGTAAATAAAGTTATTTATCTTTTCGCTTCTAGTATTGTTTCTTTGTTTTTCTTTTATATAGTGTACAAAGTAGTGTGCAAAACAAAAATAGAGGATATATAAAAAATCAAAATTTTAATTTTAACGAATACACGATATATAAATGCTATACGCCTGCGCTACTGCTGCTACACAAATTATATACGAACTATGAAAAAGTATGATATCATTATAAAATCAATTTACTATAATATCATATATATATTTATGTGGTAGGTAAACTTAAGATTGAGGGTAAATATTTAATTTTGTTTCTTGAAATCTGCAGTGTGTGTGCTCCATCTTCCACTCAATCGTCTAGGCGGCGATGGCGTTTAACATTCGTATCCGACGAAATTCTTTACGATGGAAAAAATTAAATTTTTGCTTTTGCTGGAACATCATCTTATCATTCATCTTGCCCAGGACAGGTGTTTGTGTTCGACTACTGTTGTGCTTATCATTGTTGCTGTTGTTGTTGCTGCTGCTGTTATTGTTGTTGCTGTTGTTGGGTTGTGGCTGCTTCATCATAATTTTGTTGTTATTGATAGAAACCAGCTACTTCTTGGCCTTGGTAGCCTTCTCGGCGGCCTTGGTGACCTTGCCACCGGAAGCATCCTTGAAGTTGACAGCCTTGATGACACCGACAGCGACAGTCTGTCTCATGTCACGGACAGCGAAACGACCTAGAGGAGGGAACTCCTGGAAGGACTCAACGCACAGAGGCTTGGAGGGCACCAAGTTGACGATGGCAGCATCACCAGACTTGATGAACTTGGGGTTCTCCTCAGTGGTCTTGCCGGAACGACGATCGACCTTCTCCTTGATCTCAGCGAACTTGCAAGCAATGTGAGCGGTGTGGCAATCCAACACTGGTGTGTAACCGTTGGCAATCTGGCCAGGGTGGTTCAGCACGATGACCTGAGCGGTGAAATCGGCAGCACCCTTGGGGGGGTTGGCCTTGGAATCGCCGGCAACATAGCCACGACGCAGCTCCTTAACGGAGACGTTCTTAACGTTGAAACCAACGTTGTCACCGGGAACGGCCTCGGTGAGGGCTTCGTGGTGCATCTCCACGGACTTAACCTCAGTGGTGATGTTAGCTGGGGCAAAGACAACAAGGCAGCCAGGTTTCAGGACACCAGTCTCCACACGACCGACGGGTACTGTTCCGATACCGCCAATTTTGTAGACATCCTGCAGGGGAAGACGCAGGGGCTTCTCGGTTGGGCGGGAGGGGGGCAGGATAGCATCGAGGGCATCGATGAGGGTCTTGCCTTCAGCATTACCTTCCTTGCGCTCCACCTTCCATCCCTTGAACCAGTTCATGTTGGTCGATGGTTCCAACATATTGTCACCGTGCCATCCGGAAATGGGCACGAAGGCAACAGCCGCCGGGTTGTAGCCGATCTTCTTGATGTACGAAGACACTTCCTTCTTGATTTCCTCATAACGGGACTCGCTGTATGGTGGCTCAGATGAATCCATCTTGTTGACACCAACAATCAGTTGCTTGACTCCCAGAGTGAAAGCAAGCAGAGCATGCTCGCGAGTCTGACCGTTCTTGGAAATACCGGCCTCGAATTCACCAGTACCAGCAGCAACAATCAAGACAGCACAATCGGCCTGGGAGGTACCAGTGATCATGTTCTTGATGAAATCTCTGTGGCCGGGAGCATCAATGATGGTCACGTAGTACTTGGAAGTCTCGAACTTCCACAGAGCGATATCAATGGTGATACCACGCTCACGCTCAGCCTTCAATTTATCCAAAACCCATGCGTACTTGAACGAGCCCTTGCCCATCTCCTGAGCCTCCTTCTCGAACTTCTCAATGGTACGCTTGTCGATACCACCGCACTTGTAGATCAAGTGACCGGTGGTGGTGGACTTGCCGGAGTCGACGTGTCCAATCACGACAATGTTGATGTGAATCTTTTCCTTGCCCATCTTGGTTTATACGAGCTATTGGGTTCAATAGTGGGGTTCACAACGTGCAGTGGGTGTATATTTGTAAGTGTGTGTAAATGGGTTCCCACAGGTACAACCAGCAATTGGGGGGAAGAAATGGAAGGGTAAACAAAATTTGTTAGCAAAAAATAATTAACATGGGTCGTCACAAGTATTAGTAAATTGAGTACAAAAAAATTCTTATTCATTTTTGCCAACGCGGTCACAAATTCAACTTTGATTTTGTCAGCACAGTTCGACCTAACCTCAAAACGAAACGTGTTTGTGTTCGCATTTTCTATACCATTGGCTTCGGCGAGCACACATTGCTTTGAGGTTAGGTTTAGCCGCAGCCGCATGTCTCGGTGGTGGAAGTGTATGTGTGTAACAAAGGCACAAAACGAAACTGGCAATAAAAGGGAACGTGCAAAGAAAATATATCATTAAAATAATTCTAATTTGTAACTAGTATAGAACTCGATTTTTTCAGCTAATTGGTATTTATGCTATCTTCATTATTATTCAGTAGCAGAACTGGTATAGTACCATCATCATTTAAAAATCGAGATAAGTAAAACTTAATCAAATGAAATTCAATATGTATGTAAGCATATACAAACATAAGGTTTCAATACATATGTGCAAAGAAAATTCCAGCAAATTTAATCTATCCATGCGGTTGTGTGTGTGCGTGACGCTGTTGCCGGCCGCTTTAGTGGCGCAAGAGAGCAAGTGAGAAAGTAAAATAAAATGGCGACCGAGCAATGATTCGAACAAAAGCAGACGATCAGGCAGTGGTTGGCAGCACAATAGGGAACGATCGAAAAATGCATGTATTGCATACCGTCGCCAGCCATCTTGGACTAGAAGTTCACGCAAAGATAACAATTTTCCCATGTGTTTAAATCGTTGCAATCTACAATTTCGCAACATAGAATTAATTCAATTCGCATAAAATTGGTGTTGTGCCGGTGAGGGCAACGTTTGACTTTTTCATTGCTGCAAGCACTTTCTGATTAGTCAGTCACACCATTGCTTTGTGAGCCGCCATTTTGAAATTCTATGCGTTCATACGTATAGAGAAAGGCGGAAAATTTCGCGCATGCAAAAAACCACGTTTTGCTTGGTGATGAAATGCTTGCAACTTTTTGTGATTTGCAAATTGCAAATCCTTAGGCATGTCAAATGATAATTTTAAAACATGTTGCATTCATACAAGTTGATTTATGATCGCAGTGGCGAGTCAAGCCATTTACATGTGCCACGCACATGTGGGCGTGGCATCATAGGCACCAATTACACCATATTCCAAAATACAAAGTGACTCATATGAGCAACTAAATACTATAAACAATTTATAGTTATAGTGAAATTTTCATTGTAAGCTGTTTGCCACGTGTTTGCGTTCCAGTCATCGCCACCACCTTTCACTTTGCCTCGGCTTAGAGGTTAACTTTCAAGTGCCCACACACGCAGCCACATGTTGTCAAATATGCACATTTTTAAAGTCCAATCGCATATTTGTTTATAAATTTATTGTTAACTGCAATCAGCTGGTTCGTTGCACATATATTTTTAATTTAAACAGGTATGCACTCAAATTTCTTTTTCACTTGGCAACACAACTTACTCTCGAATAAATTGAATGAGAAATCACAAAGTCTATGCTAATCCGGCGACAGACTTGAACAAAGTGAACGAGAGTTCGGCGTAACAGGAAACTTGTAGCCTCGTTTCTGCAAGCGTGGCGTTACAGAGTCGCACCGCGAATATCGAATATCCATTGATTTGCTGGCGCTATTCTGTTAGTTAACAGAAACCAAGAATGTTAAATGTGGAGTAAATTATGTTAATCGGCCAATCACTCCCCCAACAGTGTTATAAAATGTCAATGACGTGGCTTAGACCGTCAAAACGTATCCAATTCTCGTAAAGCGTTTGACCGGTCTAGACGTAAAAATATCAGAGCAGCCGGTTGAGAATACAGTATTTGTTAAAATATATATTTAACCAATTTTTTTATTAAGTAACAAAGAACGAAATGTGGCGCTTACTAGGTGCTATTCTTGCGTGCAGTTTTATTGCAACTGTTGCTGGTGCCGAGCATGATGTGTTGGAGCTTGGTGATGACAATTTCGTCTCCACTTTGAAGCAGCATGAGACGACATTGGTTATGTTCTACGCACCCTGGTAAGTCGGGGCGGTGGGCGTGGCAGCATTCGTATTTGCAACGTCAATTGTAAATATTAAGTGAATTTTGCGACCATGATTAATCAAATTAAAAGTACACGTCAGCGATTGCCGTGTAAAAAGAAAGGGCACATACATATAGCAAGGGATTGACAAGTCAGCGTCGGCCATTTTAGCTTATGTACATACATATGTATGCGCAAATAGATGTTCTTTATACAAGTGTGTGTATGCGGGTTGATAAAGTAAGCTGTAAACTTGTCTAAGCTTATGCATGAACAAATAGATTTGTATGTATGTGTGAGTAGATTTTTGTTTGTTTGTGTAGACAAAGTATTAATTTAGTCGCGCAACTTGAAATGCCGGCCGGGACGCCTATGCTTGATTTCAAATGCCACATCTCGAACGAATTTACTTATCAGCTGCAGAATAGGCGCAGAACAAGCTATTTAATTGAGTCTTGCTTGAATGATAAGAGAGCATACATGAATTGTGTTCTGATAAGTGCTGAAATGAGTTTTATATTATACCCTGTTTGTTATGGGCGCTATTGGGTATTTTCGGTTTTATACTAAGTATGTACTTAATCAGCAATTTCTAGTAAATCGGTTGTCATATCTGTTTGCAAGATTATCAGGAAATAGTTCCCCTCATGTTTCTCTTAATGAAACTTGTTTTTTTCAATTAGTACATGTCTGCTTGCCAGGGTAGCTGAATTTCGGAACATAGAAGATAACATCTCATAGTTTCTTCTGGGCAAGTTGCTTTTAGATAACCCGAAACTACGATATTATTTCTTGGAATAAATGACGCGTATTTAACATTTCCTTCCCACTTATTTTAGGTGCGGCCACTGCAAACGCTTGAAGCCTGAATATGCCAAAGCAGCTGAGCTCATCAAGGATGACGATCCACCAATCAAATTGGCCAAGGTTAGCTGAATGAATATCCGAATAAAGCAATATCACTTCCATTTAATGGTTTTATCAAAAAGGTTGACTGCACAGAGGCCGGAAAGGAAATTTGTAGTAAATACTCAGTGAGCGGTTATCCAACGCTGAAGATTTTCCGCCAGGATGAAGTGTCGCAGGATTACAATGGACCACGCGAGGCTAATGGCATTGCTAAGTATATGCGTGCACAGGTGGGACCTGCATCTAAGCAGGTGCGCAGCGTCGAGGAACTAACCAAATTCCTGGATTCCAAGGATACAACCATCTTCGGTTACTTCAAAGACATTGACTCCAAATTGGCAAAGACTTTCTTGAAGTTTGCAGACAAGAATCGCGAGAAATATCGTTTTGGACACAGTGAGAACGAGGCAGTGCTAAAGCAGCAAGGCGAAACGTAAGTGGGGCAGGATTGAAACTGTAATCAAGACTCAAGATCAGGATCCATAAGATCCATTACTCATATACATATATTTCTTAAGCTTAATAAATAGTTTATAATTTCTTTTGTATAATGCAATTCTATTTCAATTGCAATTTGCTAGTCCAATATTTTAATCTATAAGTTAAAGTTTATAAATTTTGTTGAGACTGCTAGCTAATAGCCATTATTAATCATCTACCATTTGTTTTATCTTTCATATCTTCCATAGAGATAAGATTGTGCTAATACGCGCACCACACTTGACCAACAAATTCGAGTCGTCCACAATTAAGTTCGAGGGTAGCTCAGAGTCTGATTTGACTACCTTCGTCAAGGAGAATTTGTAAGTTAACCATAATTAAGTTGACATATTTTTACATTAACAAACGTTTCGCTTTTCCAGCCATGGTTTGGTCGGTCATCGTACACAGGATACCTCTCGCGATTTCCAGAATCCTTTGATCACTGCTTACTATGCCGTTGATTACCAAAAGAATCCGAAGGGTACGAACTACTGGCGTAATCGTGTTCTGAAGGTGGCTAAGGAGTTTGTTGGTCAGATTAACTTTGCTATCAGCTCGAAGGACGATTTCCAGCATGAATTAAATGAGTACGGCTATGATTTTGTTGGTGATAAGCCCGTCATTTTGGCACGCGATGCCAAGAATCTCAAATATGCCCTGAAGGATGAATTCTCTGTGGAAAATCTGCAAGATTTTGTTGAGAAGTTGCTGGCCAACGAACTAGAGCCCTATATCAAGAGTGAACCCGTGCCCGAGTCTAATGATACTCCTGTTAAGGTGGCAGTCGCTAAGAACTTTGATGAGGTGGTCATTAACAACGGCAAAGACACGCTGGTCGAGTTCTATGCGCCCTGGTGCGGACACTGCAAGAAACTTACGCCCATCTACGAGGAGCTGGCCGAGAAACTGCAAAACGAGGAAGTGGCCATTGTCAAAATGGATGCCACTGCCAACGATGTGCCGCCAGAGTTCAACGTGCGTGGCTTCCCCACACTCTTCTGGTTGCCCAAGGACTCGAAGAACAAGCCCGTTAGTTACAATGGAGGTCGCGAATTGGACGACTTCATCAAATATATTGCCAAGGAGGCGACCACAGAACTGAATAGCTTTGATCGCAGCGGCAAGCCCAAGAAGACCGAGCTGTAGAGACCTCTCTATATCTCTGCGTAAATCTAAATTAGCGTGTAACTAACTAGCATTTCCATATTTTTGTAAAATCGAATGCATTCTCAGCCAACCGCCAATCGCAAAAACAGCAACTGCAACAGCAACAAGTAAACAACGTGTATTAAATTATTTAATAGTGTGATTCTTCAAATTCAATTAATGCTGTCAATAAACGTAAAATCTACTTTCTTCATATAAAAAAAATATTATACACATTTATATATATATATTCATTGTTATATACTTAAATTTAAAATTAGTTGTCCATATATAGTACAGCATATATACAAATTGCAGAAGACTTATATTTGAAATCGTATCTCTGCATTCAAATGCTCCATACGCTCCTCCATCATCAAGCGAAACCAATCGGGTATAAACGAGTGCTCGGTACGCTCCTCTGCATATTTATAGCTAATACTTCCATTCTTAGCTTCGTATTCTAAGATATAAACTGTGCTAGCGCTGTCCACATGGGCCAAAAGCATTTGAATGCTGCCCAAAAGACGTCGTAGAAAATTTCCACATATGTTTGGCGACCAGTCATGCTCCTGTTATAAAGATATGTTTCATTTATTGAGAATGCTCTGTCTTTGAAGGAGTAAGTTGACTCACACACTCTCGCCACAGCTCACGCACCGTTGTGTGTTTAATCTTTTGCACATTGGCTTCCTTATCATGATAAGCTATATAAACTTTTTCAATGCCAACTAGAAAAGATTCAACCCACCATTTAAGCACCTCATTGCGATTGTGAGCCGACCATTCGGTGCGATTCATCGTATCTAAACGCAGTTTCAGATCCACAAAGGTTTTAGGCAAACCATAGCTGTAAGGAAAAAGTAGCTTTATAACTACAATACCAATAGATACAATATATTTACAACGTATTGGGAGTATGCTCCGCTAGAATGGGCGCATCGAAGAGCACCTGTAAGCCGCAAATTTCTATGCAGAAAACACAATAATATTGGCCGTCCAATTTGCTTTGCTGATAGCTATCTGAATACACGTTGGAATTAACTAAAGCTGGAGTTATTAAGTAATATCTAGGTAGTTACCTCCAGCTGTCAGGCAATGTTGTCTCAATGTTCTCATCCAATTGGCCATTAATAAGTCTTTAAAGTGCTTTTCATCGAATACCGATAAAGGTCGTTCAGCATTGTGCACAGGACATATGTATATCGTATTACGATATTTGCTTACTGCAAGAGTCCAGTTATTTTTGTACTCATACGGTGCGCACATGATTAACTGTAAAGCTTCTCGACTACAAACGATGTCCGCTTCCAATTGAAGAAATCCGTGAACGTTCCGTTTAATGAAGGAATCCCACGAGCAGCGTAGAAAGTAAAACAAATTATCCAAATACCTTGGCTTGGGTTTAGATTTCTTTGTATGCATATCTTCCACATTAGGGATTAAAGTAAATGGAAATTGGCTTAACGGCAGTTGATTTAGAAAACAAATTCGTGCTGGCGAATTCTCGAAATGGCCCTCGGCGGACAAACTGTATTCGCCCACATGAATTGGCTGTTTAACAGTGGGAAATGATTCTTTATCCTGGGGCGGACTCGCTCGCGCATTAATGTTTAAAATTTTATAATTTGAATACATATCAATAACTTTTGTAAACTTTACTAGGCTGAAAATTTTTTCGCTGGCTTATTTTGAATGATGCGCTAAAAACAGTTATATACAGCGCTCTGCTTCTATGCTCGCCATTCACCACGAAAATGTAAACAAACCGTTGCGCGTGCAAGTGATTTGTAGTATTTGGTATATCTGACCAATGCGGTCACACTTGAACCGGGCACCAACTGCATTGCACGTGTTTTAAAAATTCGCATTGTTCGTTTCGAATTGTTGCGCATAAAATTTAGTTTTAATGCAATCGAGTAGTAAAATATGGACATAAATATTAACAAGCTGCGACGCAGCGTTCAACAGCTGTTGCAGCTTATTGCGAAAGAACAGCAGGATGATGTGTTTGCATTGAATTTAAAGAAGTTCCTAAAGAAGAAGGTAAGCTAATTTTTACTTGATCAGAAAACATTCAAAACGTGTTTTTATTTTATGTTAAGCTGTATGCTGAACAGGATGTGGATCGATTGTTTAACAGTCTTAGCGAACAATTAACTTCGTCTGATTATACGCTACCTCTAGCTTTGAGCTTCGAAGAGCACCTGTTATTACTTTTGACCATGTCACTGCGTTCAAATCCGTCAGTTCAAACAGAGAAATATAGGTCGGAATGTATTGCTTTGGCTAAGTTATTGCAGCTATCAGTGGCTGCCAGGAGGTAAGGGACATAATCTATATTAATGCAATATATATAATAATACAAATATGTATTACAGATTTGCCAAAAGCTACTTTCGAAATCGGGCTGCACCATTCGAGGAGATACAGGTGCAGCTGCCTATCAAGAAATCTAAAAGAACGCATACAAATGGCACTATGGAACCGACAGACCGAACATCTGGTTTGGAGTTAATCAAATGTTGTTATCAGCTCCTAAAAAGCGATGTAGTCTACTACAGAGAGCTCTGGGATTGGTCGCAATTCCTTGCCCACTATACGAACAAACAAAAAGCATGTCCGCTAACACAGCTCTATATGAATCACATTCTGGCCTTGCTATCAGATATGACCAGTACGCAACTGCATGATCTTAACATACGTTCAGCAATACCTAATGCTGTGCAGATGTTATTTGAGCAGCAGCAACGGTTGCCTACACTTGTTAACTCCAACTCCAACTTACCCGATCTGCCAGAGCAAAAGATTAAGTTAAAACTAAATCAAGCCAATCAAAGTGTAATCGACATGGAAGGCGTGCTGCTGCCCATATTTAATGAGGATAATCAAAAGTTCTATGCTGAAACGGATGGCTGCTACGATCGCATTGTTAAAGTGGATTCAACGAGTGTAAATTTACGTAGCATTGCTCTAGGCGTAGCTGCTGCAAAACCCATTTGCCTCTCCGGTCCAGTTGGCTGTGGCAAAACCACATTAATTGAATACCTCGCACGGAAAACAGGGCGCATTTGTCCCAAACCCAAGGAACTGGAAGTCCGTGAACAAGCACAAGAGGAGGAACTACTGAAACCCAAAAAAAAACAAAAGACACCAAAGAGTGCCGCTGGAAAGAGAAAAGTAGAAGATGAAATTCCGCTAGAGAAGTTAATGGTGCTAGAGGATGGCGATGGATTGGCACAGCGAAATGGTTTCTTACGCATACAGCTTGGCGATCAGACGGATAGTAAAATGTTATTGGGTCAATATCGTTGTACAGATGTGCCTGGCGAATTTGTTTGGTTGCCTGGTGTATTGACACAGGTCGGAATTGAAAGAGATCAATATTTACTATATATATTAATTAATGTCAATTTTCAGGCTGTCATGCATGGCTATTGGCTGCTTTTAGAGGATTTAGATGCTGCTACACAGGATACTTATACGATATTAAGCAGTCTATTAGAGCGCAATTACTTGAGTGTACCTGGTTTTAGAGATTGTGTCAAGGTGGAGCCAGGCTTTCAACTGTTTGTAACAGTGCGGTAAGTGAAGCTAAACTTAAAATCATTAATGTATTTAACTTTTGCATTATATTTCCCAGAACCAATAAATCGTCCAATAATTCCAGTCAAAAATCCCTATACTCTCTACTAGAGAAATATCTATATACCATCAATATTTTACCACTTTCTCGCAACGAGCTATGCAAAGTTGTTAGCACTAACTATGCTAAATTGGCAACTGTTGCAAATCGCATTGTGGATGTCTTCTTGACCTTCTCCAGTGGAGATCACACTGTTGCTGATAATTTACGTCAACAGGAGAGCGGAGATAAGGCAGATACCACTGAAAAGTATGTAGCGCTACCTTTTGAACAAGTTGAACTGTCCAGCATGTCCAACTCAGGACGTTTGGTATCCACGCGGGATCTCGTCAAGCTGTGTCAACGTGCAAATGCTCAATTTTCGGTGACAAGCGCTGAATGCGCTTACTTTGTCTTCCAAAATGCAGTCGATGTCTTCTGCTCCTATCTGCCACAGAGCAAAGAGAAGACAGCTTTGATAACAAATATTGGCGCTAAGTTGGGCATCATTAGATCGAGATGTGAACATTTTGCTAATGAATATAAACCAGATGTGGAATTTGGAAAGCAAAGTTTTAAAATTGGACGCGCTTTATTGCCAACAATGACTATGGAAGAGGAGCTAAACGAAACACAAAATGGCACTAAAAGACAAAAGCTTACAATGCAAAGCAAAAAGACAATCTTGAAGCCGGCCGCAAAACGTGCTACTTTTTCTTTTACACGCCTGGCCAGCTGCATATTGGAGCGCATAGCAGTCTGTGTGAATCACTCAGAGCCCGTACTTCTGGTGGGCGAAACGGGTGTAGGCAAAACGTCCTCTGTGCAGTATCTAGCAGAGCGTACCGACCATAAGCTCGTGGCTATTAATATGAATAATCAATCTGATGTGTCGGATCTAGTGGGCGGCTTTAAACCCGTCGAGCTGAACTATGTGCTCGCCCCGTTGCGCTATGAGTTTGAGCATCTATTTGGAGAGACCTTCAATGTCGATAAGAATCAACAATTTATGCGCATCTTTGCCACACACTTTAATAATGGGCGTCACAGTGTGATTATACGGACAATGTTGAGTATCACGAATAGCATGTTTAGCAAACCGGAGCATAAGTCGAATCCTCTGCTGCCACGCTGGCAAACGTTGCATGAGAAGCTGCAGCGATTGCAAATGCAGCTGGACAAGAGCATAAATATATCGTTTGCCTTTATACCTGGCTCCTTGGTCAATAGCATCAGCAATGGTGATTGGGTGCTGCTGGATGAAATCAATTTGGCATCGGCGGAGACACTCGAATGCCTGTCTACCATCCTTGAGCCGGAAGGTTCGGTTGTGCTATTGGAACGTGGAGATTTTATGCCTGTGAAGCGGCATCCAGATTTTCGTATATTTGCCTGTATGAATCCCAATACGGATATTGGTAAAAAGGACTTGCCTGTGGGCATTCGCAATCGCTTCACAGAGTTCTTCGTCGATGAGCTGACCACAGATGCAGACTTGGGACTGCTCGTGGGTGATTATCTGGCCAATACTGGCATTCAGCGCAAATCGGTGCATAGCATTGTCCAGCTTTATAAATCCTTGCGACGCCTCTCCGAGCTGCAGCTCAATGATGGCCTTGGCAACCGCCCTGTCTACTCTCTGCGCACGCTCTGTCGTAGTTTGCGCATATGCGCACGGAATCTGTGTGGTTCTATTGAGCGTAATCTGTATGAGAGCTTCTGCTTAAGTTTCCTTACTCAACTGGATCCGGAGTCACATCAAATGGTCTTGCTGCTCATACGGAATGCATTGCTTCAGAACCCGAAAGCTGTGCTCAATCAATCCCTGCCCCAATTGGGCGAAAACTATCTACAATTTGAAGGTTATTGGATACAGCGTGGTAGCTTGGAGCTGCAATCTTGCGAGCATTATATATTGACATCTAGCGTCAAGAAGAATCTGCAGGATCTATCGCGTATTATCTCCATTGGCAAGCTGCCTATACTGCTGCAAGGACCCACCAGCGCTGGCAAGACTAGTCTTATAGACTTTGTTGCCCGGAAGAGTGGCAATCGCTGCCTGCGCATCAACAATCATGAGCATACGGACTTGCAGGAGTATATAGGCACCTATGCAGCGGACCTTAACGGCAAGCTGAGCTTCCGGGAAGGTGTGTTGGTTCAAGCAATGCGACATGGCTATTGGATTATCTTGGATGAGCTGAACTTGGCTTCGACGGACATTTTGGAAGCTTTGAATCGCGTGCTCGATGACAATCGTGAGCTGTACATTGCAGAGACACAAACGCTGGTCAAAGCGCATCCCAATTTTATGCTCTTCGCCACACAGAATCCACCTGGTCTATATGGTGGTCGTAAGACCTTATCACGTGCCTTCAAGAATCGTTTCATTGAACTGCACTTTGCGGACATACCACGATCGGAGCTGGAAATTATATTGGAGCAACGCTGCCTTATACCAGCTTCATACGCTCGAAAGATGGTCCAGTGCATGACACAGCTGCAGCAGCATCGGAAGAATACCTCCAAGCAGGTATTTACGTTGCGTGATCTCTTCCGCTGGGGAAATCGCTATACGCTAGCAGACAAGGCACTGCAGCTGGATACGAAATATGATTGGAATCAACATCTTATAGAGGAGGGTTATCTGGTCTTATCCGCCAAGGTACGCACTGGCGAGGAACTGCAGCTGATTGAGCAAACGCTGTATGGAAACTTTAAGAAACGCATCGACTTGGAACTGCTCTTCGATATAAATACACAGCGAGAAACTTCCCCGGTTAGTCGAAATATATTGGAAGCGATTAAGAGTTTTAAACAGCGAGGAGACATTGTCTGGACACGGAACATGACACGAATGGCAGTGCTTACGGCCAAGGCGCTACAGTTTGATGAGCCGGTGCTTTTGGTGGGTCCCACGGGCTGTGGCAAGACAACGGTCTGTCAACTGCTGGCGAGCATTGCTCAAGTGCGTCTGCGCATACTGAATTGTCATATGCACACGGAGGGTGCGGATTTTCTGGGTGGCTTACGTCCTTGTCGTGGTCAGGATAATAATACTCAAAAGCTATTCGAGTGGGCAGATGGACCGCTCATCTATGCCATGCAGGAGGGCTCCTATTTCATGGCAGATGAAATATCGCTGGCGGAAGATTCAGTCCTGGAGCGACTTAACTGCATATTGGAGCCGGAACGTAGCGTGTTGTTGGCTGAAAAAGGAGGTGTTGTAGAGGAGCAGCTGGTAACTCCCAATGATGATGGCGACTGCAAAACGAATGAAGACTTTGTTGTGCAGGCCAAAGCGGGCTTTCAGTTTCTGGCCACCATGAATCCAGGTGGAGATTTCGGCAAGAAAGAACTCTCACCTGCTTTGCGCAATCGTTTCACCGAAATCTGGTGTTTGCCCTCGGACAACAAAGAAGACCTCATAGAGATTGCCTACAATTGTATGCAGCGTGGCATGGCGGCCAATTCTCTGAAGGATACCCACAAAATGGCAGAATATCTAGTGGAAATTGTACTCTACATACGCGATTCCAATGAGAAATTCAAGTTCTCGGTGCGTGATATACTTGCCTGGGCCAACTATATGGTCAGCAATGCGCATTTGACATTCGCGGAGCAGGCCATCTTTGGACTGGAGACCATCTTTCTGGACGCTCTGGAAATGTTGCCACATGAGTCGCAGGCGCAAATTGAGGAGCTAAAATCGAGAATTATCGAATATGCTATACAACAAGCAGCTGTCATACTCTCAGAGAAATTTGAATTCGCACAGTTGGCTGAGAAACGTGGCCAGCAGGTGCAGCTGGATGAGCAACAATTTGGCATACGTCCCTTTTACATAGCTGTCAATCCGGAGCGTCTGATGTCCGCCGATTCCAATTTCCTATTCGATGCGCCTACAACCAAGCAAAATTTATTCAGATTACTGTCTGCTCTCTCGCTGCAAAAGCCTGTGCTACTGGAGGGTCCTCCTGGAGTTGGCAAAACTTCCATTGTGGAGAGCATAGCACATGCCATTGGCTATCAGATAGTGCGCATTAATCTGTGCGAGCACACAGATCTCGCAGATCTCTTTGGCACTGATCTGCCAGCTGAAGATAATTTGCTGGAGCGCGTTGAGGCCCAGAGTCAATTGGGCAGCTTTATATGGCGCGATGGTCCACTGCTGGCTGCGCTCAAAGCGCCCAATACATGGATATTGCTGGATGAGTTGAATTTGGCGCCACAATCTGTGCTGGAGGGTCTCAATGCAGTGCTGGATCATCGTGGCGAGGTCTATATACCGGAATTGAACAAGAGTTTCCATCTGACGAGCAGCACACGAATTTTTGCTTGTCAGAATCCGCTCAAGCAAGGCGGCGGTCGCAAAGGCTTGCCGCAATCGTTCCTCAATCGTTTCAACAAGGTTTATCTGAGAAAGTTAAGCACAGAGGATTTGCTGCATGTGGTTAATAAGAAGTATGCCACATACTTTGCACAGCTCAGAACATACTTTGAAGAACTAGTGCAGCAGGAACAGCTGCCCAAAGGAAATCTCTTTGAGCTTAACAAAGAACAGGAAGCTGCTGAAGTGGAGTTTGATTTGGCTGCGCGCTTGGTGCGCTTCTCTGAGCTGCTGGATCGCGGCGTTGCCTCCATGGAGTTTGGCTACAAGGGTGGTCCCTTTGAGTTTAATTTGCGCGATATATTGCGCTGGTGTGATCTGTTGCACAATCCAGAGACAGGCTATCTTATGCTGCCCGGAGCCAGCAGCTACCACGTTGCCTTTCAACAGTTTCTACTCACGCTCTATGAGCGCATGCAACTGGTTTATTATCAGCGCATGCGTTGCGATCAGGATAAGCTTTACATACGCAACGCCTTCGCCAGCGTCTTCAATTGCAATGCGGAACAGCTGAATGACATTGCTGAGGATGTTGCCATCTACTGGACAGCGGATAAAGTTTACCTCAATGATGTGGTGCTGCAGCGATCGCAGTTGCCTCTAGGTGCTGCCACTCAACGCCAGGAACAGGCTCCATTGTTGCTGGGATCACAGCGACAGCTGCTCAAGCAAATTGTCGAAACGGTGCATATGGAGAAGCCACTACTGCTCTGTGGTGCCACGGATAGTGGCAAGACGAAGCTAATCGATGCTCTGTGTGTGCTGTCCAACAGCGTTTGCAACTCGGATAACATTGATGATTCTGTGACGGGCAGTTTTCAACAGGTAAGACTTGCTGGTAACCTCAATTAAAGTAAAACTGGCTTAAATAAGTTTTCTTTCTCTCTTTAGATCGATTTAAATCGTCATTTGGAGGAAATATACAAGGCTGTGCAGGGTTTGGTGTTTGTTGCAGCTCAAACAGCTTTCATACAGCAAACGGAATATGCTTTTGTGCAACAGCTGTGGGCTGCTTGGAGCAAGTACAATCAGTTATTAAAACTGAGCGCTGGTGAGACACTAGCTCATCTCTTGTTCAAGTCAATTACTACAAGCAACTTCTTTCAGAAACCGCCCAACACACTGTTGCTGAGGAGCTGCAACTGTTCGAGCGTCGTTTGTCTGCTCTGGAGCAAATCATCTTAAAACTGTCACAAACTCCACGCAAATGTCGTGTTCCACTCTTCAATCAATTACCGCACTACAAATCGCAGCTGTCTCTACTGCAAGCCTACATCAAATCCGCAGATTCACTTAATACTGGCGGCTCCTTTGAGTGGGTGGATTCTCGCATTGTTACATCTTTAAAGTGTGGACAGTATATCTTGTTGGAGCATGTGAATTTGTGCTCCTCAGCTGTGCTGGACCGCCTAAATCCCGTCTTTGAGCCGAATGGAAGTCTCTTGATTGCGGAGAAGGGCATCAGTGCACAGACTAGCGCCGAGGTGGTTCGCAAAGCTCCAAATTTTCGCGCTTTTCTCACTGTGGATCCGAAGAACGGCGAGCTCTCACGTGCCATGCGCAACCGCTGCGTGGAGCTGTCTTTGAGCGTTTCAAAGGACGCCTATAGCATAGATGATATGCGTGCTATCGTCCATGGCCAAGGCGTGCAGCAGATAGCAGCTATTGACTGCATGCTCAGCATACATCGTGGCATAATTCAACTTACGGAATTTAATTCGTACACCATCTCACATCTGACTCAATTCGCTTTCCTGAGTGCTGCCTATAAAAGGATTGGATATGAACTGAAGAGAGCTATATATGTAGCTGCCATGGAGGTTTATGTGTACGCCGCCAGTATGGACTTAATGGGCTATGGTCTGTCCTACTACCAGAACAAGCTGCGTGAAGTGGTGCTCACTCATACAGAGAATTTCGAGGGGAATGAAGTACAGCAGTTGGATTATCTGAATGACGTTATATTACGTACAGATGAACTGAATGAATTGACGCTTATAAAACTACAAGCAGCTGTCTTAAAGGTACTGTTGCAGACTTCCAATGAGGATGAGGAGCTGCCCAAGCAGCAGCTTCTATCACTGTTTCAGCACATGGAAGCGCTGGATTTAAGTCAGCTGAATGTGCGGCAGTTCAGACGTTACTTTATTCACATGCTCTATGAAGTTTGCGCGTTTGATGAGCTAGAAATGCGGCATCTGTATCTGCAGCAATGCCTAGAGGAGGATACAGAATTGCAGCAGCTCTCGACTAGCCTATATGACTGCCTGTTGCTTCAGGGCAAACATTTCCGTAATAATCTAGTGGAATTGCCTTGGCATCGGAAACTCTTTCCACGTCTGCGTGACTATGCTACGCAGCTGGAGGCGAGTGATGCTAAGCCAGGTGCTGCCTTGGCACTCAGTGCAGCTCTGTTAGCCCAGCTACTGTTGGAAAAGATACCTAAGAAAGCCTTAGCTAAACTTCAACACTTGGATGCGCTGCAATATTCACAGGCCTTGAAGGAGAAGAAGATCACAGACAAGTATAGCAATGATTTTCTAAGTCAGCTCGCCGGATTTCTCTACAGTCTTCAGCTAGTGCTGCAGCAGCATTTGAGCTCTGCTCGCTTTGAGCTGCCCCAATATGCGCAGTTTTTGACTAAACTTAAGTGGTTTAATCGTTTGCTGAACACAGCTCAACAGAAACTGCTCCAAAATAATGAGCTGCATGCGCCGCTAATGCACAAACATGTGCTGCACTTCAAGTGGTTGCAGAAGCATCTCATAGCTGCGTTAGTAGAAGCCTGGCCTGAGCTGCTTGAGGTGCATGATGAGCTGCGTGAGAGTCTGCAACAGCTGAGCTCCTATGTGCAGCAGACCAAGCGGCCAATGAATGTGATATGCAAATTGTATGCCAAACAATTTACACAATTTCAGCCTTATTATCTTGAGCAACAGGTGAGTCTGTTAAGTAGCTTATGTAAATCTATATTTATATATATTCCTACTCTTTCAGATCACACTGCATGAACAATTAGCGCAGATGCAGCAGCTGTTGAATGTGGTGCCACAGTATGGCAACATGGATAGCAAATTGTGGGTGCACAAGTGGCTGGCTCTGCACTCAGATGAGGCACACAAATGGCGCACTTTTCTGCAAAGACACATGCCCAGCTGCCAGCTAAAGCAGTTCGAGCTGACAGGAAGCTGCAAAGGAAAGCTGCAGGAGGCACTGCTCAAACTGGAAATGCAGCTTAAAGAGCAACAGCAGCAAGCAGCCACGGAAGCTGAAGTGCAACTAGACATAGATCTAACACAAATTAAGCAGCTGCTCAAAGTTGGTCCGGAAGAGGCGAGCGATGAGCACATAGTTGACTTGAAAGCGGGCGAATTGAAGTCCTATCAACTACTGTTATCCGTCGTGAGGGATTTCTTTATGGAACGTGCTCTAAGCCGAACATTGCATTCAGATTCTGATGAGCAAGTGAATCAGCTCTACAGCGAGCAGCTGCTTACGCTGAATGGACAGTTATGGCAGTGTCTCAATACGCTGAGCAGTAAGACCCACGCCAATGTAATGCTCGCCTGGAAAGAGCTACAACTAGTGCTACAGGGGCAACAGAATGCTGAGGAGCTTACAGAGTTACTGCAGCAGCAATTGGCAGGCAGCAGTTGCTACAAGGCGCTGCGCAGCTATCAGCGGGAATATCGTCAATCACTGCAATGCTATCAGCTGGAGAATTTAGCCACGCGCTTCGATTGCGCCCAGTTGCCCAGCGACACGGAGCTGATGTGTCGCTATAGCTATCAAGGCGCGCCCTTGACGAATGCACTCTTAGCGCTGCTTTGTCAGTCCAATGGACAGATGCTGGCAGTGCCGCTCAGCGAGCTGCAGCCCTGGCGGCAAGCTCTGCAACAAACGCGACAGCTGCTCTGGCAGAATGGACAGCTGTTAGGACGCCGGCACTGTCCTGAGCAGAACAATCTAGAGCTGGTGGAAGAAAGTGGCAAACAGCTGCTCAAGGAATTGGAACATGTGCAGCAGCAACAGCAGCAGCAAATGGAGTCGGGCTTCGAAAGCTGCATACAGCAATTGCAGCAAGTGCTGCAGGAGCTGGAATCAAAGCAGTCGCAATCAAGTTTAGACAACTCCTTCAATGCTGCGCTAGGTAATGCGTTAATAGGCGCTCTGGAGTTGTGCGTGCTTACACATGCACCTCTTATCGATCCCGTGGAGAAGAATCGCTTGAAGAATCTGTATGTTGCCGAGGATATAGATTGTTTGCAGCATTTGAGCGCTAGCTATGATTTCATGAAGATCATCATGAAGTACAAGCACTTTGGGCAACAGATCTATGAGCAGCTGCAGCAGCGCCTGCAGCAACTTCTGCAGCAACAGCAACAGCTCAACCAAAAGTTAGCCCTGCGACCAGAGCAATGCCTGTACGCCAGCTTGGTGCAGGATTTAATGCACTTCTTGAAATCCAACTGCGATTGTCTTGCATTGCATAAATTAATTATTACAATCAAGGAGAATTGGTCGCACTTTGCGGGTCCACAGGCGGCTGGTGAGATGCAGATGCGTCGCGGCGCCGAGCTATTGAACAAACTGGATCTGTGGTTGGCTAATGCGCAGCGCTTTGTACATCACACGCTGCTGCGTTATGCTGCCTACTATCAGGACTTTGTGCAGCCTATCAAATGCGCCGTGAACCAGCTGCGTTTTGGACTGGAGCAGTTGAAGCAGCTGTTTACTCGAGTGCTGACGGCTGGAAGTGCTCCAGAGGCACTTAAACTGGAGCAGACAATCACACAGATGGTTGAGTTTCCTGCGCAGCGTCCGTTGGCAATTAGAAATAGCCATGTCTATGGGCTGCTGGCCAAGCTGCCACACAGCGAACACGAATATTTCCGCTTGCTCAAGGCCAAGCTTTGCGAGCTGCGCAACTTTATCTCCATCGCCTCGAGCATTGATGAAACGATTTTCACTGCTTACGATGATGCATTAAGCATTTGCAATCGCACCTGGCAGCAGGAGGAGCAGCGTCGAAAGGATCAACGCGCCGAGGAGGAGAGTCTATACAAAACTAAAACCTTAGGTGGCATAGAGGATGAGGAGCTTGTCGAGCTGCAAGAGATTGAGCAGAATTTCCCCACCAACCTAGACGAGGACTATGCCGACTTTGTGGATCAGCCTACGCTCGAGCAGGTGCTCAAGCTGGATAAAAAGGCGAGTACGAAGGCGAAGCTGGCGGAAATAGTCAACGAACAAGATTACGTCTTTCTCGCACGCAATTTCATCGAGGTAATGATCAGGCACACAACTGTTAGCTACCAGGAAAAGGAGCAGCAACAACAGGAGCAGAAGCACCTGCAACTTATACAGCCCTACCAGGCGCGTCTCCAAGTCTTTGCTCAGCTGCATGGACACTACAAGACTGCGCTGGGCGCCACACTCGATGGCAGCGTATACAATGCGCTGAGCTTTGCGCTGGCGCTGCAGCAGAGGCAGTTGAAAGACTTGGAGCTGGAGGAGCAACAGGCATCGCCTGCTGCCTATGACTACTACAAGGACTCCAATATAACAGAGGTGAATGGTTGCCTGAATGTGATGGAGCGCATAGAGCAGCGAGTGCTGGCGCAGCTGGAACTCTATCCGGAACATGCAGGCCTGGCGGACATTAAGCTGGTCATCTCACGCATACGGAAGCTGCCCGCCAATGCGTCTGTGGTGCGCTTCAATACAGGCTTCCAGCTGTTGCGTCAGAAGGTGGCTTTGTGGAACGAGGTGGCTCACAAGAATAACAATTTGGTCACAGAGGAGATTGAGGTAGCGGAGTTCGTGCAACGCTGGACAAAGCTCGAGCTGCAGCATTGGCGCAATTGCCTCAATCAAACGGGACAGCAAGTAGAGCTGCAAGGATATCGCTATTGGTTCTTCATCTACAATCTGCTGCAGACCGAAGTGGAGCTTCCAGAACTGATACGAACACTGCGACAGTTCGTCGAGGCCGCTTGCTATGGAGATTTCCACGTGCGACTGCAGCTGCTGCATGGCTTCGAGATGTATTTGCATAATCTGGAGCGTGTGGGCAAGCGCATGAAACTACAGCCGCTCATAGCTGCTCTGCACAATTTGCAGCTGTACTTTGAGCAGTTTAAACAGGAGGTCGCCGAGACGGTGAAAGCACGACGTGCTCCCATTGAAAAGAAGCTGAGAGAGTTTGTTAAGATACAGAGCTACAACAAGGATCTGAGCTACTTCAGCATGCGCAACAATGTGGCCAATGTGCATCGCAATCTGAACAAGTTCCTCAAGGAATACCGACTGCTGCTCGAGCAGAAGATCAGCGAGGTGTTCCAGCCCAAGGATGCCACTGTTAAGGATTACAGCATGGAGAACGGCAAACTAAAGAACAAGACAACGCCCTATTTGATGGATGCTCAGCACTTTGTAGCACCCGAACAGCTGCGCGAGAAGTATCAAGTGAAGGAGATGGCATCTGATGCTTTGCCTCTGCTTCAACAGCTTGGCAAACATTTTGGCACTGCGCGCAACATTGTCCGACAGACGCTCAATCAGGCTAGCTATGGCACGCTCCTAGAAGAGTTGGATGAAGTAGTGGCTGTGCAATTGGAACGTTGCGAGCATCTGCGCAATCTGAATGTGGATCGCAGCAAGGAGCGACCCCAGCAAAAGCTGCAGGCCAAACAAATACTGCAGCAGAAACGCAAAGCTTTGATAGATCTCTTCAAGCTGCTCGCCCGACTGGGCTTGAGCTATAGAAGTGGGCTGATGGAGCTCACGCTGCGTGGTGAGTTTGAGAACTTCCAACTGCCACCGTTCAGCATTAAGGCCATGTTGCCTCAGCTGCACGGAAGCTGGCGCCAGCTCAATCAGCATCTGGATTTGTATTACATGAAGAGCGTATTTAAGCTGAAGCTGCTGCAGAATATTATGTTGACGCCTCTTTCGGAGCTTGGCCCGCCCAACATTGAACGCATCAAGGGCTTTGCCGTGGATCTGTTTCTTCACGTGCAGCAGCAACGTGAGCAGCTGTCCAACTCCACCATTCAGCTGCACGAGCTGCGCAATGCATTGCAGCAGCTGCAGCAGGTAGCGCAGATTGTGCTGCCCGTGGAGGTGGACATTGAGCAGCTGAGCTTCGGCCCCAAGGCAGATGAGTGTGTGCAGCTGAAGCATAAACTATGTCAAATACAATATGTACTCCAGCAGTGGCAGCTGCTGCTGAACTGTGCGCCGCTGCAGCCCCTCAGTGAGCATAGCGTCCTGCTGCACAGCAAGCCACTGCATCAATCTGAACTATTGGAGCTGTGCGGCTTAGCTCTGCGTGGCAGTCAGGCGCTGCTGCGTGAGTTGGAGCATGCACACACCGAGTTTGTGGACGGCCAAAAACTACTTAACTATCAGCGCAACTATCAGAAGATTGTCGATTATATTAGACAGGCGCTGGAGCAGCTGGACGTGGGTCACGAGGAGCATTTGCCGCTGGCACAGCCGCTGCTGGCGCTCCTCCAGCAGCTAGAGAGCAGCTCGGGTGTCTGCGAAGCCAAAGCAGAGCCTGTCGATCTAAGCAACGTAGATACAGAGCTGGCTAACATTGCACATGGCGTTCTGCTGGCACTCCAGAAGATCTACAAAGAGCACGGCAAGAAACCAGGGCAGGAGGAAGCCGAACAGCAAGAAGCGCTGAAGGAACAGCATCTAAAGCAGCATTTGACAGGCCAACTGAATGCCAATTGGGAACTTTTAAGCCTGCCTCGCACTCTGTCGAAGCTATCCAATGTGCTGCTAGTGCTGAAACACGCCAATCCCAGCCAGGAGAAATTGGTTTGCTTGCGCCGAGCGGTGGGCTTGCTGCCCATACTTCAACAATATCAACTGCTGGCGGATTACATGCTGCTGCAGCAGCTTGGCACTCACAGAGTCTCCGCAAAGATGTTGTCCATTATGCTTACCGCATTTGTGGAAATCGGCAGCAAAGGTTTCTGTGTGCCGCCGGATCTTATGCAGGATGAGGAGGGTCAATCCAAGCAGGACTCAAAGAATGGCGAGGGCTTTGGTCTGGAGGATGGCACCGGCGAGAATGATGCATCGGATAAAATCGAGTCTGAGGATCAGCTAGATGATGCCAAGCGGCCAGAGGATCGCAAGGATGAGGGCGACAAAGAGGAGCCCGACAATAAGGAGGAGAAGGGCATCGAGATGAGCGATGATTTCGATGCGAAAATGCAGGACGTGGAGAAGCCAGAGAACGAAGAAGACGACAGTGGCGAATCCGAGAATGAAGAGGAGTTGAACAAAGAAATGGGCGAAACGGAAGAGGGCGCCGAAAAGCTGGACGATCAGATCTGGGGCGATGATGAGGAAAAGCAACCCGAGGAAGAGGAACCTGATTTGAATGAAGAGGATCAAGGCAAAGGCAGCAAAGATGAGAAGGATGAGCACAATGATCTGGACGCTAAGAACGATGCTGCCAAAGAGGATGGTAAGGATGAGCACGAAAAAGAGGGCCTGGATGCTACAAACGAGCCTAGTGGCGAGGACAAACGCAAGGAGCAGGCCAAGGATATTGAAGATATGAAGGAGCCAGAGGTCGATGAAGAGCAAACCAATGCCATGCACAATGAACTGGAAGAGCCACCAGAGCCAGAGGACATGGATTTGGGTGATATGAACAATGTGGACGAAGGGCATGACAACGAAGCCGATGAGCCAAACGACGAGAATCCCTTTGATATAGACGCCATGAAGGAAAACATGCAGCCAGCTGATGAAGAAGAGAATGAAGCCGAAGAGGAGAAGAAAGAGGAACAGCCCATGTCGGATGACAGCGATTCAGATGCAGAGGAGGATGGCACGGAGAAAGAGCAAACACAAAAGGGCAAAGATGAAGCAGAAGAAGATGACAATGCTGAAGAAGAACAAGAAAACACAGAACCAGAGACACAAACACGTGGTGAATTGGATAAAGAAGAGGAGCAGCCAGAGGAGACGCCCGCAGAGCCGGAGGCTCGCGAAGAGAAACCAGAACAGCACTCGCAATCCAAGGATAAATCAAGCAAGGAAGACAATGTGCAATCTGTTCCAGATACGGAGCAGAATAGCTCAGCCGATCAGGTGCAACAGCAGCAGCAAGAAGAAGATATTAAGCAGGATCAGAAAATGGACGAGCAGGAGACGGGCGAAGAGAAGGATGGCGTGGGTCAGGCTGAAAATGATGTAAGCTATAAAACACTTCGAATATTTTACAATATCTAACCCTTTTTCCTTACAGACAAATGATGGTGGTCATCAGGGCGTAGCCGAGACCAAGGAAACTGTCTCTCAGGAAGAGCGCAAAAATGAAAAGCAAACACAGGAGAAACGCAAGCAAGGACGTACAAATGAGGAACGATCCTTAGGTAAGCTTATCATTAATTGCGCTCCCAGTCTAAAATGCAGTAAACTTACATTTTCCTTACTTCACCTAGGTGAAGCTGAGCAAAACAAATTAAAGCAGCTGAAAACAATTGATCAAATGAAAGAATCCAAGCAAAAGGAAAGCGAGCAGCAGGATCAAATGGATGAAAACGTCGAAGCGGAGGAGTATCAGCATGTCAAGGAGCCAAAGAACAGCGATAAAACTACCTTGGATAATGCCACAGAGGAACAATCCAAGCAAATCAAACACCTAGAAGATGAAGAGCCTAAAGACGAAGCAGAGGGCGAAAATGCAGATGAGCTAATGGCAGATGAGGATGTGCCAGCAGCGCAAGAACAGGATGATACACAACTGGAGCAACTGAGCTCCGAAAGAACCGATCAGAAATCTGATAAACCCTCCAAAACGGAGCAAGCTAAGGAACGTGTGGAAGAGCCGCAGCAAATGGAAATCGAGGGCGAAGTGGTGGCCACAATGACTGTGCCTCGCAGCGCTGAAACCACAGCGCACAGCAAGTAATGCCATAAGGAAAACCTCTATTTTAATTTATATACTAATTGTAATTTATTTGCAGCACGGAGCTACTGCTCGAGAAGAGCCTGCAGGCCCAGGAGCTAAGCACAGCTGAGCAAATTGAGCTGAGACAAATGTATCAGCAACAGTTGACCAGCGCGAATCCCGTAAGTAATATATTTGTTCACTATTGGTCAATTGCCGAACCCCTTTTCTTTTGTCCCACAGATTCTGCCACAGCATGAGGATTATGAGAGCTGGTCGAGTATCTCCAATCGCATGACGCAAAATGCTCGCGAACTATGCGAGCAGTTGCGTCTCATTTTGGAACCGACGAAGTGCACCCGCCTCAAGGGCGACTATCGCACGGGACGACGCATTAACATGAAGAAGATTATTCCATACATAGCCTCACAATTCCGAAAGGATAAAATCTGGTTACGACGCACAAAACCCGCTCAGCGCGATTATAAGATAACCATAGCCATTGACGATTCCAAGTCGATGCACCATAACAATTCCAAAACATTGACCTTGGAAGCTATCTCGTTGGTGTCACAGGCTTTGACACTGCTCGAAAGCGGTCGCCTGAGCATTGTGTCGTTTGGCGAGGCGCCGAAAATTATCCTAAATCATACGGAGCAGTTCGATGGACCGCGTTTGGTAAGCGCTCTCAATTTCGATCAGGATAAAACGAAAATTGCGGGTCTGCTCGATTTTATACGCACCGTTAATATCGAAGAGAGTGGCTTGGGTGGTGATAACGGCCTCTTTGAGAATCTGTTGCTTGTATTGAGCGATGGACGAAATATATTCAGTGAGGGCAATCAGAAAGTAAAGAATGCCATTAAACTAGCTCGGCTGCAGCGCATATTCCTTGTATATATTATCATCGATAACCCTGACAATAAGGTGAGCTGTTTACTCATTAGATATGGAAATGAATGTATAACTAACTCTTTACTTTTACAGAATTCAATACTGGACATACAACACGTCGAGGTCAATGCGGATGGCTCGGTGAAAATCAATTCATATTTGGATAGCTTTCCATTTCCATATTATGTTATTGTCCGAGACCTTAATCAATTGCCTCTAGTGCTCAGCGAAGCTATGAGACAGTGGTTTGAATTAGTCAATAGCGAATAGCGTAGCTTATTATTTTGTACATAGTAAGTAGGTAACAACACGTACTAAAACTTATTTTTTTTTATAAACTTTTGAAAAATTTGATTCTTTATAATGTTATGCTTAAGCTAAATAAATCATATATTAACATTTATTGTTTTCCGAGCTTAAATCAGCCGGCAGAGTATCATCTTCAAGAAATAGTTCAAACTAGGCAGTGGTGCGCTACCAAGCCTTGTGATAAAAGATTAATTTATGGTATACTTTACTTATTTGTATAGCATAATAAAGCGAATTAAATTCACAATTCAAAAATATTGTATTTTATTCGTTGGCAAATAAAATTCGCTCTGTTCTCATGTTCGACCTTGTAATAATTCAGCAAAGAAATATGCAGGGAAAAAAGTATTATTCTGTTCGTTTCTGTTCGCCTGGTATTTTGGTCGAGTTTCATCGCAAATTTGCGGCTCGCTTACCTGTTGCTAGCTAATAAATGTCCAGCCCCAAAAGTATGCAATTCAAATTTGGAGTCCTAATTTGTGTGCCACAAGAAAAAGTATGCAATTGTTTTATTATGCACAGCCTGAAAATATACTATGAAATTATATGATATATTTTGCAGAAAATAAAGCATTGTTCTGGTTGTTTCTGCTCGCCTGGTATTTTGGTCGAGTTTCATCGCATATTTGCGGCTCGCTCGCCTTTTGCTAATTAATGTCCAGCCCCAAAAGTATGCAATCAAAATTTGGAATGCCGCAAGAAAAAGTATGCAATTGTTCTATTCGATCAAGTTTGTGTGCGGCTTTATGTACATCCTGAAAGTATACAATGAATTTTTTTTATTATTATTTTTTTTTTATATATATAAAGGTGTAGAACCTGTACAATCAAATTTAGTACCTTAACAACACATGTATATATATGGAATTAGAGCCAAACCAGTCACCATATGAGGAATTAAAAGGAGACGGTTTACAGCATCCCACTTCAAAAGTTAGCTAAAAATATCCCGACAAAAAAAACATATGTTTGCTTTATAAATTATACTCAAAATTTATAAAGCTGAATATGTATGAATATATATGAATATATATGATTTCAGTTTTTATTGATACACATATATATATAAAAAATAGTTTGTCATAAGCATAATTGTATTTGCTGATGTATTTAAATTTTATTTTTATAATTATTAGAATTTAAGTGTTAAATAAAACACAATTAAATAAAAATAAGTAAACAAATGCGGGGAATTTATTGAAACTAAAAATTGGACACGGTTGCTGGGATCGCAAATTTTGAGTGAAATGCTGCTCGAGTACCAGGCGAACAGAAATGAGCGCAAGCAGCTTATCAGTAAATAAATTAAAATCATCATTTAATAAGGAGCCCAAAAGTATTTACATATTTTTCAACATTTGGCTTTCGATTTAAAAGACGCGCCTAAAAGTATGCTCCTTTATATAAAGACAAGTTTTTTTACAGTATAGTCAGCAGCAGATAACCAAATACTTTATTTTTAAAAACCTAAGATTGGGAATTGGTGTCCAGCCAGTACATATATATGCATATGGTTGACTTATTTACAGTTGAATTGGGAATACGTTTAATGCAAATTGCTTCTGTTTGTTAATGCAATACGACTTGCAACTCAAATGGATATTCCCTTGAATTAAGGCTTTGCCTAAACAGTTGAGTATGCTGCCAAGCCACGTCGCCTTTGCCGCCGCTTAGTTTGGCAACAATCTGAAATTCATTGGAGTTCTCAATGCATCTATTGCCATCGCTGGTCTCCACGTTCACATTAATTTTGCCGTCTCCAAATGTTTTCGTTTCGAATGTGAGTTTATAGGATTTTACTCGAAGATTTGATTTGCTCAAATTGAATTTCCAAATGATTTCAGCGCTGTCTGTGTCCTCTGTCAGGAATTGTGTAAATCAATATAAGATTGAAAAAGAAAAGAGCTAATATAGCTTACCTAGCCTGGCCAAATAGGCCATTTTCCAATCTCTCTCCACCTTGCGAAAAATGTTCTTCGATGCGAATTGCGCACTTTGCCAAGTCTTGTAGGTTTCGAGTATATTCAAATGCTCGCCAACTAAAAATTAAAGAAAGTAATCGCTCATGAGCATAATTGATAAGTTTTTTTCTATGGAACTACTCAATCAAACCTTTCGTATATCTTTCGTACGTATCACTGGCGCAATTGTAGCGTAAATTGAATTGTCGCAGTTCCAGCTCGCTGTCATTTGGCGTAAATACAAAAATCTGCAATAGAATAATGCATGAGAGATCGTGTGTGATCTTTCTATGTAGGACAAAGACAATTAATGATCAGCTCAAATGACTCACATCTGTGAATGTGTGTTCGCCACGCGACTGACGCCACGACAAGCTGCCCGAACTTCTGCCTTTCAGCTCGCTCTCGGTAGGAGTGCTGCGTAGTTTATTAAAAAAAATCCAAAGAACAGCTTTAATTACAGCAACAACAAGACAAAGCGTTGCAGTCGAACGCTACCGACTGCATAATGCTCGCTTTCAAATGTAGACTTGGCATACATCTTAGCCAGTCAGGCATTGCACAAAACTAATATACCCGTGTTCACCATACAAAACAGCAGCAAGACAATCAATGAATATTTTTTTAATACATACCGTTCCACGGTCATTTCAATGACCTCGCACATGTTGCGCTGACTGAGGAATTTTTTGCGCTCTTCGCTTGTAAATTGCTGCCGCTTAGCTCTAATCACATTCAGCGCTTCGATGAGCTCTTTCTCCGAGCACAGTCTGCGTTGCTGCAATATTTGTTGATGATTGTTCGTATATCGCCAAGTGACATCCTGTGCATCATCTCGCGAATAGCCAAAGACATAGTCAATATTGCGCTTCCAGCCGTGCTGGTACATAAGTGGCGAGTCGACAACATTGTCGGAGGGATCGACATGCAGCCAGCGCATTTGCTTCTCCGAAAAGACTTCGGTCCACACATGATCGAAGTGGGAATGCACTAAGCGGGCATCATAGTCCAAACATCTGCACAGGAATGTAAAGCAATTGGCAAACTCGCCACAGCGTCCCTTCCGCGACACCAATAATTGGGAAATGTCATTGTAGCGATGAAACTTGGTCTCTTGGCCACAGCAAACTGTGACCTCGACTCGCACATCACCCTCGGTTTGGGTGCGACGCAGTTTGCCATCCTCACTGCCGCACACCTGGCATGGTATGTTATTGACCCACTCGAAGAACTCCGTCTTAAACCAATTGACCAGCTCAACGAGAAGCAGATCGCGTATGCATGGCTCCTTCTCTTTGCATTCGCCAGCTGCAATTAGTTCCTGTATTTCAATTAATTTCGTGCTGGCATTCGTCGTTAGCTCATCGATGGGTATGAGACTTCGCCCGCTGACCAGCAACGCCTCGTCCTCATACTGCATAACCGCATCGCTGTAGAGCTCCAAGGACTGCAGGAACCGATTAGGAGTGCGCTGCAAATAGAAATTCTATATATACTCTATTCAATTAAATTGTACTTTTAACCCTTACCAGCAAGCGTGGAAAGGCAATGCGTTGTCTGTAGGGCACTGAAGGTTGTATAAACAAAGGCGTTGCACGTGTAACTGGCATTTCTTTTACATTCGTCGCGTCGTGGACTGGCCCTAATGCAAATAAATTAAATTTTAATTAACAATCAGTTAACTTGGCTATATTACGTATATTTACTATGTATACCATTTAGCCACGCCTCACGCCTTTTACTTAGCACGTCTCTGTATTTTTGTATTTGCTGTAACGGTACTTCACTGGGCAGTGTGTACTCATTGGAGCTTGGCATGCGTTTAAAACCAATTGCATTCAGCAATCGCTCGCTGCCCTCCAACGAGAGCAGCTTTTCCTTGATCGTTTTATTCTCCATACGAATGGTGCGATACTTCAGGTTATTTGGCTGACTAAGCACATTCTCGAGCAGCACGAGTAATATGCGCACTGCCTCTAGATATTGCTCTTGCTGTTTCTCCGTTGATTTCGTTGGTTGAGGCTCGATCAATCGCACGCATTCCAAATTAATGTCAACCATGTTGTTAAAATGCGCGGCGCTATCAAAATAAGTCACAAAGCCGCTATCGTGGGGTGGGTGGGTGAATGTCTGTCTAGCTGCTTGACTAGTGATGTGCAATGTTTATCACAATATATTTATCGAATGTGTTAGCTTATTGACTAAATTAATTGATTAAATTACGTATTTATTGCACTTGAAAAAAAAACAAAGGAAAAAGGAACAAACGCTTAGCGGCTTAAGCAGCTGTTGACCAGCGACATTATCGATTATCGATAAGTCAAGTAATTTTTAGGCATTTTTCGTTTTGGTATTATTATATTATTTTTTGTAAGAGTGGCAGCACCGGCGACTCGGCGAAATTCAACCACTTTTGAAAAAAGTAGGCGTCGTTTCAATTGTGAAGCGTCAGTCATTGTGCAAAGTTTGCGCAGCGGTTAATTCAGAGAAACTGAAAACAAAAAAACTTCATTCGTCTCTTATATTTCCTTAAAAGGTAATAAAATTCAGTCTTTCTTTGTTCCGTTCGTGTGCCTTCGACTCTCAGTCGCAGGCTCAAACTCGAGCGGTTTTCGATATCGAGCAGTGTGTACATACAAATTCATTTGGATCGTCTATTTTTTTCTCATTCAATTGCAGCAAGTTAAACTACAATCCATATAGCAAAAATGTGTGACGAAGAGGTTGCCGCTTTGGTTGTCGATAACGGTTCCGGCATGTGCAAAGCCGGCTTTGCCGGTGATGACGCACCACGCGCCGTTTTTCCATCAATTGTCGGACGTCCCCGCCACCAGGGCGTTATGGTTGGCATGGGCCAGAAGGACTCGTATGTGGGTGATGAGGCGCAGTCGAAGCGTGGCATACTCACCCTTAAATATCCCATTGAACACGGCATTGTGACCAATTGGGATGACATGGAAAAGATCTGGCATCACACCTTCTACAATGAGCTGCGTGTGGCACCCGAGGAACATCCGGTGCTCCTAACTGAGGCGCCCTTGAATCCAAAGGCCAATCGCGAAAAGATGACTCAAATCATGTTCGAGACTTTCAATACTCCGGCCATGTATGTGGCCATCCAAGCTGTATTGTCCTTATACGCCTCTGGTCGTACCACTGGCATCGTTTTGGATTCTGGTGATGGTGTTACCCACACCGTGCCCATCTACGAGGGCTATGCACTGCCACATGCCATCCTTCGTCTAGATTTGGCTGGCCGCGACTTGACTGACTACCTTATGAAGATCCTGACTGAGCGTGGCTACTCCTTCACCACCACCGCCGAGCGTGAAATTGTGCGCGACATAAAGGAGAAGCTATGCTATGTCGCCCTAGACTTTGAGCAGGAGATGGCAACGGCTGCTTCCAGCTCCTCGCTAGAGAAGTCCTATGAGCTTCCCGACGGACAGGTTATCACTATTGGCAATGAGCGTTTCCGTTGCCCCGAGTCTCTGTTCCAGCCATCATTCCTGGGCATGGAGGCGTGTGGTATCCATGAGACTACCTACAACTCGATCATGAAGTGCGATGTTGATATTCGTAAGGATTTGTATGCCAACACAGTGCTGTCCGGCGGTACCACCATGTACCCAGGCATTGCTGATCGTATGCAAAAGGAGATTACAGCTTTGGCACCATCTACCATGAAGATTAAGATTGTGGCGCCACCGGAGCGTAAATATTCCGTATGGATTGGTGGCTCCATTCTGGCCTCGCTGTCTACATTCCAACAGATGTGGATTTCTAAGCAGGAGTACGATGAGTCTGGCCCATCCATTGTACACCGCAAATGCTTCTAAGCAACCACAAGAACAGCAACAAGAACAACATCAAGCAAACAACAATTGCGGCTGTAGCTGGGCGTGGTCCTGTCTGTGCCTGCGCCTCACGCACACAAAAAAAAAACCATATATATACAATATTTTCCTATTCGTTACATATTTAGGATAGGGTAGATAAAACAAAGAAGATGCGAAGCTGCAGATATTTAACACAGGCAGGCACATGGTCCCAGCAACAGCAGCAAGAACAACAGCAACAAAGATATACTACCATTTTTTTTATATATATATATATATACAACAATTTTATACGAAGTCATGTACCACATAGATACACACACAAACACACACGCATACACACACCCACACATCCTCACAAACATATAACACATAAGTAATTAGCATATATTTTTGTGTTCGATCGAAATTCACGAGTTCATGCGCACATATTGGTATTATAAAAAAAAATATAATATAATATATATATTCCATATTCGGCATTATCCAAGCATTCTTTACATATATGTAATATTATGTACTACACTTAACCAAAAAGAAAACAAACAAAAATCAAAAGAAATTTAAACTAAAAAGTATTTGTAACCGCTACGAAGAAACAAAAAAACAATAAAAAGCGATGAAGAACTGAATATGGTTAAAAACGACTTATTATTAATTGAATATTTATATGGGTTTTGGTTTCTCCTTTTTGATGATTAAAGCTGTTGTGACTCAGACTCTTGTGGATATGGAGATTTGTCAGCGCGCGCGATAAGCCGCTTACAAATGTTTCCCAAAAATGTTTGATTTCTGTCTAAACGAAAACAAAGGCTCTACTCGATATTTCGCAGGAAGTGTTTGATAAGCGAAATGACTACAAATATTTCTGATATAGTATTTAGTTGTGGATTTCTCATTATTTTTAGCTTCTGTTGTGGCAAATGCGGGCTATGAGTCGCTGCGGCTTATCAGCGTGACGGACCGAGCCAACAACTTGCCATGCCATGCCCCTCGCTGATTGATTACCTCTAAAACAGCTGGAGCAGCGCCGTTTACCTTATAAGGCAACAATACAGTCGTATCAAAGCGTATATGTACGTACGTACGTGCATGTCTCATATGCTTTTCACTGGCAATAGTTTATGCCCGAATTAATCAACAACAAAAATACAATTGCCTGAGTCAGCGAGCAAACATTGGAAATCGTCATCAATTCGCATTGTTTGCGAATGTATTTGTGTTTGGCTTGACCACTTACGGCTACACACAAACACATACACAAGCCAGGGCTGCAGCAGGGGCAGAGAGTGCGGGAGAGGAGGCTATAGTAGCAGACAGAAAAATAGTTAGCAGAAGTGTAGGGAGAGAGGGAGAGGAATGTATAGTAAAAGAACTAAAGACACTATCAGACAATGCTGGGGAAGCAAGTGAAGTGAGAGAGAGGGAGAGAGCGTGAGGCGGTGTAGTAAATGAACTAAATCAAACACACACAATGCCAGGGCAGATGAGGGGACATAGTGAGAGGGAGAGTGAGCGGTATAGTAACAGAATTAAATCAAAAACATAGAATGCCAGGGCGACAGAGGGAAGAGTGGGACATCAGCGTATAGTAGCAGGTGTGCCAGAGCACGGAGGGGGGAGGAACACATAGTAGACGACATTTTAGGCAGGGCTTTCAATGCGTTTTGTTTTGGTTCACAAACTCGCATTGACCAAAAATACAATCAACTTTTTTTTTGGTAGTAAGCAATCACACCCATATGTGGATTGATCAAAAGCATTTGACTTTTTAGAAATACACATTTAGATCTACGTATATGTGTGTATTTCTCAAGGTTGTGAGACGATTCGGCTTAAACCCGGAATATCGTTGTAGATTTTCAACTATGAACTGACTTGGGTTAGAACGTTTTCTCCACATAAAAATGTAATAAATTAACAAATTGTTAATCTAACAAAAATTTATCAATTTAAAATTTAGGTAGACAACCAAATTTAGCGCGAATTCTTTATGAAAATATTAAATATTCAAAATAATTTCATCAGAACGCGCAATTTTAAATAAACTATTTTAATAATTAAATAAAATCTTTGAGGTTATACGACAAATCAAGATTTATTCCATCTGTATTATATCATTAAATTGTCAAGTATATCTTAATTTTTTATACATTTTCATAGAGCTATAAAGAGTTTTATATATATATATATACGTATATCATTTTGTTTTATATAGAAATTACTTTTATTGCAATCGTTATACATATGTTTTTATATATATAGACACGCCCTCAAATTATTTTATATGACAAGATTTTTTTCTAATTACAAATGCAAACGATTCCAGTACAGAGAAATTTCTATAAATTAATAAAAGAAATTTTTGTTAAATAATTTTCAGTTTTCACTTTGTTTTTTTTTGATTACAGTTGCTTTGAAATACATGTTTTTTAAGTATAGTTTTTGTGCATTGGGTAAATCATTTGAATATATATTTATTAGATAAGAACACATAAGTACTAAGGTTAGCATTATAAAATCAGCCTTCAATTCATGCTTTCTAGGTTAAGATGTACGTAGATAAGGATTTTTAAATAAGTGGAATTTATCATGGTAGTTATTGCACTTTTTAAGCAATAAAAATGTGAGGACAAAAGAAAAAATAACTGTATATAATAGCAGAAATAAGAGGTTGCTAGTCGGGAGTGTCCGACTAAGAATACCCTGAATATGATATTGAGCTTAAATGTTAAGTGAAGAATACTGAATCCGAGATTATAGAAACCTTTACATCTCATAAGGTACCTCTAGCTGAAATAATCTCTAAGTTCAATTGCTTCAAAAACTAAGTTAAGAAATATCGATTTGTATCGATATCAGTTCTAGGTTTCTCGATTTTTGCAGTGTCAACGGACGGACTTCTGGGCGGCCCTGATACCACGCCTCCTTTCTCTTCCTCTTTCACTTATTTAATTTTCATAGGGGATTCAAGGGTATGGGACAGCTTGAAATAATACTCACCAAAGAAAAAAAGAAACAATAAAAAGCAACAAAAGAAATACACAGAAAAAAATGATAACTTAGCTATGAATATTCTTGCTATACATGAAAAGTTTTCATTGTTCTGCGTATTTTTTTTTATAAATTACGATAAATTTTATTTTGATGTTTTTTTTGTTCACTAAATGTACATGGATTTGTGTGTGTGTGTGTGAGTGTGTGTATAGTTTTAAATACATAATTTAATGGTTAAAAATTACAATTAAAATGTATAACATTAATAATATGGATTTTACTTTATTGCATTTATTTTTTTCTAGCACTTTTCTCTGTTTCTTTTTTATGATTATACGATAAAGATAAAGCATATAAATGTCGTTGATAATGTTGAGTGTATGAATATATAAGGTAAGACACGTAATGTTTGTTTTTATTTGTTTTTGTTTTTTTTTTGTTTAACTAAAAGCATAAATATATATGTATTTAAATATCGTTTATATAATGGCTATATAACTAAAAAGAGAAAATATGCATATACATACATGTTATATATATATATATATGAAGATCCTATATATAAACTGTGACTTTATGCGTTTCGTGTGTGTATATTTATATATTATGATACAGCGTTCAAGAATAGCGCCTGATTGCAAAACAAAACAGCGTAAATCATATCGATATACACATGTATTTTAATATATATATATATACATATGCATATGATATAAGCATTAAGTGCAAACAATAGAAACTGTTTTGTAATCAAAAATACAAATATTTAAATTTTACACATACGTATATATATATATATATATTAATATATATGTTCTTTCATCTTAGCACACCGCAATGCTTCCTAAATACTAAAATTTGCCTGACTTAAATGCTAATAACATGTATATTGATACCTAGACGTACACTCAGCTCCATGTCCAGAGCATGGGATTACATTTGCTTTTCTTTTCTTTTCTTTTCTTTTGCTTAATGCTTTAGAAAATCTGTGCAAAAATTGAAATAAGTAACTAAATAAGAATTGTCCGTGTTGGTTAGCTTTATGCTTCGGTCTTGTTGCTGATGCTGTTGCCGCCACTATTGTTGCTCTGGTCCGCTTGGCTGACTGCTGCAGGTCCGGGCGCTACCTTGTTGCAGCTGCCACGTTTGCCAGCGGGCGCATAAAGCATTTATCAGTAGGCCTGCGCCTCCTTATAATCACTCTGATCGGATGTATAGAAATCCTCGAGCTTCCATTGCAACGTTTCGAATGTGGGTCTACGCATCGGATCCTTGTGCCAGCACTCCAACATTATCTCATATAGACGCTGCTCACAGTTCGGTGGCATGGGCATGCGATAGCCATGCTCCACCTGGGTTAATACTTCAGCGTTGGTCATGCCTGATAAAAGGTAAAAGAAATCGAGATTTAGCAATGTTTTTTACTAATGGTTAAGCAAAACTCACCTGGATAGGGTATACGTCCATAGGTAACCAGCTCGGTGAGTAAAATGCCAAAGCTCCACACATCTGATTTAATGGAGAATTTACTATAATTGGCTGCTTCTGGTGCTGTCCATTTGATGGGGAAGCGTGCACCGACACGTGCCTCGTATTCATCCTCCTTGATGAGTCTGTATGGGGTAGATAGAACATTTGATATTAAGACTCTTCTTCTACAACTGTTACAGAGTTAATACTCACCGTGCCAAACCGAAATCGGCTATCTTTACGATATTGCCATCGCCGACGAGCACATTACGCGCCGCCAAATCTCTGTGTATATAGTTTTGCGATTCCAAATATGCCATGCCAGCGGCTATTTGGGCAGCCATATCGATAAGTGTTTGCATTTTGATACTACGACATTTGCCTGCAATTGCTAAAAGATATTAAAAACACATACATCATATATTAATAATGACACGATGAATTTGAAGCAATGAACGAACGATGATCATGTAAGAAATTAGGCAAGTTAATGTCATGTGTAGATGATTAAGTTAGCATTTTGCCTTTTAGCTTACCTTGCAGATACTCCAATAGGGAGCCGTGTTTCATCAGCTCCGTTATAATGTAGATGGGCTCTTCGACGGTGCAGACCGCATATAGCTGAATGAGCTTGGTGTGGCGCAGCTT